GAGGACTGCCCAGAGCCTTGGCATCCTGCAGGAGGCCTGGAGGAGGCTCTCGGCTTCTGGCTTCTGGCTTCTGATTCACTCAGCTCTGCCTGTTGCGGCCATTTGGGGAGTGAACTAGCAGATGGAAGGTCTTTCTATTTCTTCTTCTCCCTGATTATGGATCTGATCTGCCTTTTTTATTTAAAAAAAATTAAAATTCTATTCACACTACTCAAGAATTAGAGGTTTTGATTTAATGTCAAATTTGAACAGGAGCTTCAATATCATTTGAAATCAAGAAGCAAGCAAAAAAAAAAAAAAAGAAGAAGAAGCAAGCAAGACCAAAGAACAGATGGCAGTAAAGTGAAAAACAGTTACCAAGTACAGGTGCTGGCACCCTACCCCACCCGGTGTGTCGGCATCTACCTGCATCTACAGAATTCTCTGCAGGATTAGCTAAGCAGATGGTCCCTGCGTTGGAGTTTGGCTTCGCTGGCAAAAAGGACTCTGAGATTAAACCATTTCACACATGCCCTATCTGCTCTGTCTCCTGTCTCAAGTGGAAGGTTTTTCACAGTAGTTTTCAAAGCTATCGATGTAATCAACACAACTAAAACACTTGCAAAAGACAGTTTGTACGGCAGAACGAGGGCGCCTTAGAGACCACGTTAGGCCACGGGAGGGCCACAGAATCAGTGGAGGTGTGATGACATGGGTCTAAGGAAGTGACTGTCAGGCACCAAATCTTGCAGGTCAGCTGTCTGCAGGAACGTGCCCCTCTCACTGGAGAAGGGTGCCACAGCAGCCTGGAACACTTAGCTGGACAGTGCACATGCAGTCAATCAGTTAATCCTCCCTTCCGACATTCAGAGGCATTTCCCCCTCAGTTTGCAAGCATCCTGCAAGTTGGATTGATGGTTTATCCTCTGATCCCACAGGTGTGCTTAGGAGCCGTGAGTCAGGGAAACCATGCAGTTCCATGGGATACACTCCCAGCAACCTCGGGCTGCACAGCCCTCGGCCCACAGACGGCTCCACACTGGGCTGTGGCCTGCTGTGTTCAGTTTGGAAGCTTGGCCATATGAAATCACGACCAGCTAGCTCATGCTACTGTCTGCACTAGCACAATGAGATGCTAACTGCTTCACAAAGCCCAGCTGCCAGGCAGGCATTTGGCGTGACTTTCAGCTATGGCTTGGGAGAGCTGGATCCCGTGTCAGAGGACCTGGGAGAGAGTCTCAGCTCCGTTTCCCATCTAACTTCCTGCTTGTGCGCCTTGGGAGGCAGCCAGTGGCCTCTCAGGTACTTGGGTCCCTGCCACCCATATGGGAAATTCAGAATGAGTTCCAGGCTCCCAGGTTTGGCCTGGGCCAGGTACAGCTGCCATCAGTATTTGGGTAGTGAACCAACAAATGTCTCTCCCTCTCACTGCCATTCAAAAATAATTTTTTAAATACTCATTTATTTATTTTACAGTTACAAAGACAGAGGGAAAACAAACACAGATCTTCCATCCACTGGTTCACCCCCCATGTGGTTACAGTGGCTTGGGCTGGGTCAGACTGGAGCCAGGAGCCAGGAGCTTCCTGTAGGTTCGCAACATAGGTGGCAAGGACTCAAGTACTTGGGCCATGTTCCGCTGCTTTGCCCGGGCTGTTAACAGGGAGCCGGATGAGAAGTAAAGCAGCTGGGCATGAATCAGTACTCACATGGGATGTCAGCAACTCAGGCAGTGGCTTAACCTGCTACATTACATTTATTTGTTTGTTTTTGTTTGTTTATTATTATTGGAAAGTCAGATTTACAGAGAGGAGAGACAGAAAGATCTTCCATCATTGATTCACTCCTCAAGTGCCTGCAATGACCAGAGCTGAGCCAATCCGAAGCCAGGAGCTTCTTCTAGGTCTTCCCTCAGGTGCAGGGTCCCAAGGCTTTGGGCCGTCCTCCTCCACTTTCCCAAGCCACAAGCAGGGAGCTGGATGAGAAGTGGGGCCTCTGGGACATGAACAGGGGCCCATATGGGATCCGGGCAGATGCAAGGCAGGACTTTAGCCACTAGGCTACTGCACTGGACCCATCCTTGTTTTTTAAATCCCACCCACCAACAATTGGGGAATTATATAAAATAATGCCACATTTACAAAAATACGGAATGGCACACAGTTGTGCCTAGGTACCAAGAGGCTCTAGCCTGTCCTAGCTTCTTAGGCCACCTTGAGACATGAAAGAACAGGCTCAGGTTATTTGGTCATGGAACAGATTCCCTGGCTGAGCTGCTCTCATTAGTCTGGAAGAAGCCCTCAGAACCCTTAAACCATGTCAGCGTGTCCTCACTGCACTTGCATGTGAACTTGCAGCCTCCGAGAAGCACTGACCTGCACTGACATGACCACAGGTGCCAAGTCCTTTTGATGATGCGACAAGCCCTGTCCTCGGTCGCTTTCATGTGTGATGAGGACGCCTAGGTGTCCACATCGCTCCAGCAGCCTAGAACACATCCCTCTGCTTTTCTTTTCTTTTTTTTTTTTTTCTGCTCTGACTCACACTGATGGGGGCAGGGACGTGCTTGATGCTGAAGTTCACCTCAAGTGGACTTCCCTCCCCGCGCTGAGTCATCCAGGAAATGGAGCACACGGCCTCAGCTGGCACCACTTGGAAGCATGACATGTCTTTCTCTTTTACTGATGCAACACAACTGCTTCTTTTGCAGTCTTGGCTTTCCCGCAGCACATGTCAAGAGAGCATCATCCAGGTGTGGCCTGTTTGCAACTTCTGTGCCAGGCAGCCTGGTCAGCCCCTCATCACTGTTGGTCCCACCTGAAACAGCCCCTCTCCTCTTTCCGCCCCAAGCCCCGAAGTCTTTTTTTTTTTTAAAAAAGATTTATTTCTTTTCATTCAAAAGGCAGATTTACAGAAAGAAGGAGAGACAAAGATCTTCCATCTGCTGGTTCTTTCCCTCAAAAGGCCACATGGGCCAGAACTCAGATGATTTGAAGCCAGGAGCCAAGAGCTTCCTTGGATCTCCCACCTGGGTGCAGAGGTCTAAGGACTTGGGCCATCCCCTTTTGCTCTCCCAGGCCATGAGCATGGAGCTGGCTTGGAAGTGGAGCAGACAGGACTAGAAGCAACACCCATCTGGGGTGCCTGTGCTGCAGGTGGAGGATTAGCATGTGGAGTCACTGTGCTGGCCCCAACTGAAGCTCTTCCAAGCAACCCTCCCACAGCACTCAGAGGGATGCATCTAGAAACAAGAAGCCTCTCCGGAACCTTGAAGGATAAGATCCAAACCCCTTAGCGTGGCAGGTGGAGTCTTTCCTGTTCTCTCACTTTGCATATCTTACAGTGTGATTCCCTTTTCATCACCCCTGGAGTAACAGTGGTAGCTGTTATTGCCGAGTTTCCTAACTGCTAAGCATGTTCTGTTTTGCTCATTCTGTATTTTAAGAGAAATGCTCCTGTCCTTTCTGGAAGTTACCATGTGCCGTCACAGCCCCTGACCCCTCGCCTTTAGGCAGAGGCTGCTTCCTCCACTTCCTTCTCTGCCCCGATAACCCCTTTGCCATCTTCCAGACTGAACTTGGGTAGCAATGTCTCCTGAAGCCTTCCGTCGAGGCCACCTGTTTCAGAGAGAAAGAGAGAGAGAGTTCTTTCATTCCCTGGATCACTTTCCAAATGGCCACAATGGCCAGGGCTGGCCAAGCTAAGCCAGAAATGAAGAGCTGCTTCTCAGTCTCCTGTGTGGACCTGGGTTCCTCTGCTGCTTGCCCAGACACATTAGCAGGAAACAGGATCAAGAGTCCCAGGCCGTAGCTTAACCCACTGTGCTACCACATTAACTAACTCCCAAGTGCATGCATAAATTCTTCTTTAAAAAAAAAAAGATTTTTTTTTTTTTTATTGGAAAAGCAGATTTACAGAGAGAAGGAGAGACAGACAGAAAGAGCATTCATCTGCTGGTTTACTCCCCAAATGGCTGCAATGGCCAGACCTGAGTTGATCTGAAGCCAGGAGCTTCTTCCAGGTCTCCCACGCTGGTGCAGGGACCCAAGGCCCTGGGCCGTCCTTCACTGCTTTCCCAGGCCACAAGCAGGGAGCTGGATGGGAAGTGCAGCAGCCAGGACACAAAGTGGTGCCCATATGGGATCCCGGCACATGTGAGAGGGAGGGTCAGCCATTTGAGCCATGGCGCCAGGTCCTCATATAAGGCACAGAAGGAAGGCCTGATCCCTGGGAACCATGAAAGTACTAACCAAACTTTTACAAAAATCCTTAGGTGTCCATGCAGCTTACTGTTAACGACATTTTGCCTCTCGGGACTGCGACTGGAGGACCTGTGAACCCAGAGCCTTTCGTCAAACTCTGAACTGAAAAATCCCGGCGATAGTGAAAGGGCCAAACTGAACTGCACTCACGTGTCACTTCACGGCTGGGAAAGTTCCGAGAGAGGCGTGACTAAGTGGTGTGGCTGTGAGGACGCCAGGGAGTCTGCTTACAAAAAGCTCGATGTAGTAGGTCGCTGGACACCGAGGCTCTCGATGTACCCAGCATTGTACACCTGCGTCCACCATGAGATGACAAGCCGCTTGCAACGCAGTTTCTATTCCACGCAATGGTTCTTCCAACCCAAACAGTTCTATGAGAGAACTTGCATCGCCAATGTGTTTGGCTCCTTGCTTCTCTGTAAGCTACCCCTAAATAATCCTTTCGTCCCTGAAAGGCAGTTTAGAATGGACTTCAGGGACCACAAGACATTCTTGTTGCCTCTGGCGGGAGTCTAAAACCCAAGAGCGCAGAATTCCCAAGCCCACACACGCCCCACAAGAAAAACTACGATTCCCAGAAGGCTTTGGGATCCCAGTGGGCGTAGATTCAAAAAGGGGCGGAGTCTAAGGGAGGGTCGTTGGCCGATTCCATTGCTTGAAGAAGGGGGACACCCGGGCGGAGTGTAGGAGTTCCGCCTTCCGGTTGGTTGTAAGTAGAAGTGGACGTCCCTCGCGCGGTTGGTGCGGTCCAGGGCCGGGCTGGAACTCCGGCCGGCGCTCGAATTTCCCGGGTCGGGAGCGCGGCGCCTGCCGGGAAGGCACCGGGACGGTTACCCACCAGGTTCACGGCTGTGGCAGGTGGACCTCGCCATGCAGAGCACCGACCTGGGCAACAAGGAGAGCGGCAAGATATGGCATCGCAAGCCGTCCCCGGGCACTCGGGACGGGTAAGGACGGCGGCGGTGGAGGCGGAGAGGAGCGGGTGCGCGCCGGTGCAGACGCGCTTGGAAGGGCTGCGGCGGGTGCGTAGGAGTTCGCCTTCTGCCCCTGGTCTGCATCCCCGCGGTGGGACATGCCTCAGGGAGCTCCGGACGCCACGGCCCTCGGGGAGCACCTTCCGGGTCCCGGGGCTGCAGCCCGGCCGGGGGGAGGTTCGCAGCAGCTGAGGTGCGGTGTGCGCGGGAGCGTTTGCGTGTCTCGTGGGTGGATCCCCGGCCCGGAGTGGGTACTCGGATACCCGAGTGGACAGAATAAACTTCGGTGCTCTGGGGTTGGTCATGTTGGCCTGAGCGTCAGGGGCCGGGAGTTGGATTGTGTAGCGCAGGGCTGAGCACCTACGGCCAGGCTGCTTTTGCTGCGGGCAGGCCGGGTTATCTCCTCGGCGGGAGGCAGCCCCCCACTTCTTTCTTGGAAATAAGTTGCTGTCCCAGCCTCTCGCTCTGGTGGATTTTTCTTAGCTCGTTGGGTTGCTTCTGGACTAACTACAACTTGACGAAGGACCAAAGCGCCGTGCTGAGAGTACCAGCAGCTTGTTTGCGTTCTGGTGGCTGTGACTGTCCCATCGCAGCGGTCGGCTCACATCAACTTTGCCGAAAAGACTTTTGTCTTAAGTGAGGGTTCTTTGGGTTTTCATGCCCAAATTTGGCGTGTTTGTAAATCCCACCCTCCCCTCTGCTCTAAACATTGTAATAATTATTCTTTGATTCATTCTTTCATACTGTTAGAAAGTATCTAGGTACACCTGCAGTGTTAAAAGAATTGAAGGTGTTCTTTGTTCGAATGTCTTTATTGTTTGTTTCTTCCGCTGAAATGGTAGCTTTCCGTTTGTTCCCTCGATGCCTTTGCTTATGGTATTGCCAGAGAGGCAAGGCGCCCCGCGTGGGAAGTTAGAGGAACTGAGTTGGAAATGCACTTTTCCCAGTGCTGGGACCTGACAGGTGGTCGCTGCCTCAGTCCCACAGCCTCGGGCTGCTTTGCCCTCCATCCTGAAGATCTTCCTGGGTCTTCCCATGGTGGCAGGGCAGAGACATACAAGGGGCTGCGGGGAGGAACTCTGCCTTTCAAACCACTCAGTCGCTCTTTACAAACGTACTTGACATGGAACGTATGCTTTTGTTTTTAACAGAATTATCGTGAACATCATCCACAGCACCTCTGACTACCATCCAAAAGTGTTGCGATTCCTGAACGTGGCTTTCGACGGGTCAGGGGATTCCCTCATTGCTGGAGACCATCAGGGAAATATCTATGTTTTTGACCTGAATGGAAACAGGTGAGCCGATACTGGTGATACTTACCTCATTAACAAGTCACTGACTTATTTAGTTCATGCTATTGATTATTCATTCAGGAATTCCAAGTTGAACTATAACTCACTTAGCTTGCAAAACATTAAAAGTGCTGAAAAAAAAAGGAAAGGATAGAGAGCTGCTCTTCAGTATTTTAGGGAACTAAAGTGCTCATCTTCACTGATTTTAAAACAACTTATTTTTTAAATTTAACTGCCGGAAGTTTATCACTTGATTTCTGATATTTCATCAGGCAGTTTAAAAAGAACACAGTTTGTTCTGTACGTTATCGTTACAGTGCAGTACAGGTAAGACTTCTGGGCACTTGGTCTTCACGCTGCCCTCCTGTCTCCTCTTGCCTCATGGAACGTTCTAGTCCAGAAGCAGTGAGGTGGTGGATGTGTGTGTGCTGGGATTGGGTGGTGGTTCTGCCGGAGGGGCCGAGCGCGTGTGGGCACGCGGTATGGGCCAAGTTCGATTGACACAGGAACTGTGCTCCAGAAAGTAAATACCTTGGGAATAAGACAGCCGCATTTCCCTGCATTGGAAGAGGGTCTCACCTGGATATGGAAAACTGGGAGTGGACAGTGCTGTGAGCTTGGGATTGGAACTACTGGTGTGCACTCCTGGTTTTCCATGTCTACACACATAAAAGGTAATAGGGGCGCATGGGTGAGAGCGAGGGGGTTGTACAGGTGCGCCCTCCCCATCTTCTTGAGGACCCGGGGACAGTGCCATGCCAGCAGCAGTCAAGGTGTGTGCTGCCCAGTTGTGGCGGGGTACCCCGGTCTAACTGAAGGAGTCGGGTTTCGGGTTGGCGGTCAGGAAACGGCAGTTAGTCTGTTCGCTTTTAGAACCGACCAGAAGGAATTGCTCCAAGAGTGACGGGCTGTGTACAAAGGAGCCGGACGCCAGGTGGGAGGTGCTCCGAGTGACCGTGTCAGAGAACTCTAGGACCCCGAGGTGCATAGTGAGAAACTAATAAATAGAGAGTAATGGGTCACATCCGTGGACGAAAATCAAGATCTGTGAATTCATGCTGCAGTCAACAAATAGATTAATGGAAATGGGATACTAAATGGCATTTTGTATTTTCACCAAAATGCGGGAAAAAAATTGTTGAATGATCCATTGCAGAATAAGGAGTTTCAGCCTCATGGAGTCTTAGCATTTCATTGCTTGCCTGCTAATACTAACTTTTCCCCAATTTCCTTGTCTTCTGGCGTGGACGCCTACTCACCTAGCCCCCTCTATGTCTGTTACCTTAGTAAGCATGATCTTAGTCTTCCAATACCAATCCCTGTTTTCTTTTTTTTAAGATTTTATTTTTTCGGGCCCGGTGTGGTGGCACAAGTGGTTAAGGTCCTCGCTTTGCACGCCCGGGATCCCATATGGGTGCCGATTCTATCCCAGCAGCCCCGCTTCCCTTCCAGCTAGCTCCCTGCCTGTGGCCCGGGAAAGCAGTCGAGGATGGCCCAAAGCTTTGGGACCCTGCACCCGCGTGGGAGACACGGAAGAGGCTCCTGGCTTCGGATCGGCATAGCATCGGCCGTTGCGCTCACTTGGGGAGTGAATCATCGGACGGAAGATCTTCCCCTCTGTCTCTCCCCTCTGTATATCTGCCTTTCCAATAAAAAAAATAATAAAAATAAAAATCTTTAAAGATTTTATTTTTTCATTGGAAAGTCAGATACACAAAGAGAAGGCAAGACAGAAAGATCTTCCATCTGCTCATTCATTCCCCAAGTGACCACAACAGCCAGAGCTGAGCCAATCTGGAGCCAGGAGCCTCCTCCAGGCTGCCTATGCAGGTGCAGGGTCCCATGGCCTCGGGCTGTCCTCTGCTTCTCTCCCAGGCCGCAAGCAGGGAGCTGGATGGAAAGTGGAACAGCCAAGACATGAACCAGGCATGAGAGGTGAGGATTTAGCCACTAAGCTACCATGCTGGGCTCCCAATCCCTGTTTTCTTTCTTTTTTTTTTTTCCTTCTTTCTTTTTTTCTTTAAGGTTTATTTATTTTTATTGGAAAAGACAGATTTACAGAGAGAAGAGACAAAACAACCTTTCATCCACTGGTTCTTTGCCTAAATGGCCACAATGACTGGAGCTGAGCTGTTCTGAAGCCAAGAGCAAGGAGTTTCTTCTGGGTCGCCCACGTGGGTGCAGGGTCCTAAGAACTTGGGCCATACACCACTGCTTTCTCAGGCCATACAGGGAGAGCTGTAAGGGAAGTGGAGTAGCCAGTGCACAAATTAACAGGCATATGGAATGCTGGCACTTGCAGGTGGAAGATTAGCCACTTGAGCCATGGCACCCAGCCTCGCGGTGTGTGTATTTTCCAGAAGTTCATCCTGAGCCTTTGGATCACAAGTGTCCATTCTTGTGTCATCCTCTGTCTCCTTTGCTACCTATTCCAGGGGAGAAAAAATACTTTTCCTCTACCCTTCTCAACTCTTGGCTGGGGCCCCTGTTGGAAAGGAGAGACAGGACTGGCAAGAGAAAGACAAACAAGTTGTGAACTTGTATCACAGTGTAACTCGTGGGCGTTAGACTCGCCCACCACCGGGGAAGGAACACATCTTTAAATGGGCTTTATTCCAGTAAACCCGGGTCATAGGGAGCTACAGAGGTAAGAAAAGCTAGAAGTATACATGCAAGGGAGTTTTAAATCCCTTTTGACGTGGAAGCTGAAGTGGGGGTCGCTCCGGCCCTTATTTGATGGGGAATATTTCCTTCGGGGTCCCAGCCTGAGGTTAGAGTGACTCACCTGGCAAAGAAGCAAGCTCTGCCCTCCTCTGGTCACCATGGCAACCATCAGTGGGGCAGGCATCCAGCAATGAGAAACCTTTAGAGATAACTTCGCACCAGCTTGTGTAGCGTCTTGCAACTCAGAATTTGTTGGAGATTTGACGGTCTCAGTTGACAGCAGGTCTCCAGATGGCATTGATGTGAGAAACTCGGATGGGTAAAGGCAGCAGAGTGACATTTGCTTTGCTGCGGTCTCCAGGGTGATACGTCCCTTCTAGGACTCAAGCCCTGGTCCCCTGAGATAGGAGGTAGCAAGCAATACCTTTGGAAAGTGACTCAGTCAAGCAGGGAGACAGCAGGGAGCTTTGCTGTTATCTGCTTCTCAGTTGCTTTCAGTTGAAAATAATATTCATGGTAAAGTAATAGATTGGGGGGCCTGTCCCCGTACACCAGTAACATTCATGGCTGAACTGAGCAGTAAGTGATAGAGGGAAGAGATGAAATTAAACTTGAATTATTTTATGAAGATTTATTTATTTAATTTGTTTGGAAGGTAGACTTAGAAAGGCAGTGGGGCTAGGGGAAGAGAGAGGACTTTGATCTACTGGTTCACGCATCAGATGGCTCACAACTTGGTCACAGCATCTGGGGTTGGGCCTGCATGTCCCATGTGAGTGCTGGGCACACAAGGACTTGGGCTGTCTCTCTCAGGTGTATTGGCAGGAAGTTGGGTGGGAAGTAGAGCAGCCAGAATTTGAACTGGCACCTGCCTGGGATGCTGGTGTTAACTCATCATGCAGTAATGTCAGCTCGCTAGACTGGATTCTGAAGGCCGGTATACTGGCTCCTTCAAGGCTTCCTCCTTGCCCAATCCAGTGATCGCATTTCAGTTTTAATTTTACCGAGGCGACTGAATGGCATGTCATCAACCCTTTGTCCTTGCGCTTTGCTGACTGTCCTGCCACACTGCCAGTTTTCCCTCTGGCTGGCTCTTGTCCCAGCCACTGCTGGCTTCACATGCCACCCAGATGCCTGTCCTGGTACTCTTCCTTCTGTGGTCCTGGGAATTTTCTTGAATCATCCCAGCGCCGTGACTCACAGCAGCTGCTGTGTAGGGCCAGGTGTCTCACACACAGGGCCCTTTGGTAGCTGCGGGCTGCGTGTGGCTCCTGAGCCCCTGGAGGGGGCTACTGCAAAGAAAGAAGTGCTGCAGATACAGCGTTGAGAATGCACCCTGGATTTTGGGAGCTTCGTGGGAATAGATGTGCAATTTGATGAACGGTCAGAATGATGTTATTATGAATATATTGTGAGTTAATAAAATGCACTCGAGATGAACCCCGGGTTTCTTTTTACTTCTTCCTGCGGCCTCCTGAAAAATGTCGAGTGACCCGTGTGGCCACACTGGAGCATGGCCCTATATGCGCTGCAAGACCCTCAATCTCAGCATGCTTAAAATGAGGCTTCTTCTATTTTTTTTTTTAAAAGATATATTTATTTTTAATTGGAAAGGCAGATCTTCACAAGGAGAAGGAGAGACAAAGGTATTGTATCCACTGATACAGATAAGTGGCTGAGCTTATCTGAAGCCAGGAGCCAGGAGCTTTTTCCAGGTCTCCTGTGTGTGTGCAGGATACCAAAGCTTTGGGCCATCCTCGACTGCTTTCTAGGCCACAAACGAAGTTGAATGGGAGATGGAGCAGCCGGGACATGCACCGGTACCCCATAGAGAGGCTGTGCCCCAGGTGGAAGCTTGGTCTATTTCACCACAGCTCTGGCTTCAAGAATCCTTATATTTCACGGCCAACCTTGATCCCCTTTTGCTTAAGCGCTAAAGCTTTTTTGTTTGTTTCTAAGGTGAACTGCATAGGCATTCAATGTGCCTTATTTCATATAGTCATCACAACAGCCTTCTAAGATAGTGATTCTTCATTTGGTGAGAGCATGGGAAGTGACTAACCCTTCCGAGTTGACGTGGGTCGTGTACGCTGCCTCTCTTCCTGCTTCCCTTTTTTAACCGCTCCCACCTGTGCCTTCCGTCTTGTCCCCAGATCACTGGTGGGATCTGTGGTAGCTTCCTTTTAAGCCATGCATCCTTTAAGAGGTCAAGGAGAAGATGCAAGCAAGAGCTTACACCAGCCAGGCCTGAGCTGGGGTAGGAGACAAATGCTAGGGATCCCAGGTGGGCTTCCCGTGGAGGTGGTCAGCACCCAGCCACCCAACTGGCCGCTGCCTCCAGAGTCAAACCCAGTGCCTTGGCTGTGGCGCTAGGACCAAACACCTGTCCCTCGAGTCTCCTTCTTTTTATTCTTTTTTTTTTTTTAAGATTTATTTATTTTTATTGGAAAAGCAGATCAGATTCACAGAGAGGAGACACAAAGGGGAAGATATTCCATCTGCTGGTTCACTTCCCAAATGGCCTCAATGGCTAGAGCTGAGCTGATCTGATCCGAAGCCAGAAGCCGGAGTCTCCTCTGGGTGTCCCATGTGGCTGCAGGGTCCCAAGGCTTTGGGCCGTCCTCTAGTGCTTTCCCAGGCCACAAACAGGGAACTGGATGGGAAGTGGAACAGCTGGGACATGAGCCAGCGCCCATACGGGATGCTGGCACTTGCAGGTGAAGGATTAGCCTGTTGAGCCGTGATGTCAACCCCCCAAAGATGTTTTCTTCCTTTTCCATCCTGTTGGCGGTGGTGCTGGAATCGTCTTTCTAAAAGGTATGTCTGATGACGGTTGTGTTATGTGGAAATCTCCCAGTGGTTCTCATTGCGTAAGTGAAGCCCAAGCCCCTGAGTGCATCGCACGGCACCCTGCATCAGCTGTCTTTGGCTGAGCGTAGTGGTAGGTCCTTCTGCCTCCCACCGTCTTGCTCTCTGGACCCTGTGACAGAAAGCTCAGCTATGCCAGCGGGATTTCTGATGCTAACACAGTGATTTCTACATAGGTTTAACCTCGTTCAGCGAACGGCACAAGCCTGCACGGCCCTGGCCTTCAACCTCCGGAGGAAATCGGAATTCCTCGTGGCATTAGCTGATTACTCGATTAAATGTTTTGATACAGGTAAGCAGTCCCCCTGTGTGTCTCGAGAGACGGTGAGTTACAGAGTCAGCTGCTGCAGGGCATGCAGCAGGCGGGGCAGGGTGAGGGCGCAGCCCCGCTAGGCTGTCTGCATTGGAGTCAGCAGCCACAGGATGTCCGCGGGAGCATGCTCGCCTCATGGCGGCTGGCTACCCAGTTGGCATCCCTCACCGACCCTCACATTGGGCATTTTACTGGCGCCACCCACAGGCCTTGGGAAAACACTTGGGATTATAATGCAGATTACAACCAGGCGAAAGAAGAGGTGCTTGAAGTGGGGTGTGGAAAGCTTCCAGAAGCAGAGCTCCCATGATCGTCAAGGATGGGTGACCCTCCTGCATCACTGCATGGCAGTCTGCGCCACTTACTGCTGACCCAGGGAGCCACGCAGGCTTGGGACATGGGAGATGTTACTGGACTCCGTGGCATAGGGGTGGTTAAGTTTTGACCACTTAGTATCCATTCCCTGAGGCTGACGGGGCATGGCCCAAAGTCCCCAACCTTCTAATCACATGGGTGGTATTTTTCGGCATGCCCAGCCCCATCGTGTCTTCCTAGTGTAAACTAAAGCAGTGTCCTCTGACCTGAGAAATGCACCGTGCGCAAAGCAGGGACTCCCGATCCGCTCGGGTTTGCAGGTTGCCTCCCACAAGCCTTGACAGAGGACACACTTCTGTTTGATTGCTAGATTTCTTAATATTTGGGTTTTTTAAAAATTTTTTTTAAAGATTTATTTATTTTTATTGGAAAACTGGATATACAAAGAGGAGGAGAGACAAAGAAGATCTTCCATCTGATGGTTTACTCCCCAAGTGGCTGCAACGGCTGAGCTGAGCCAATCCGAAGCCAGGAGTCAGGAGCTCTTCCAGGTCTCCCACTTGGGAGCAGGGTCCCAAGGGTTTGGGTTGTCCTCAGCTGCTTTCCAAGGCCACAGCAGGGAGCTGGATGGGAAGCAGGGCTGCCGGGATTAGAACCGGCACATGCAAGGCAAGGACTTTAACCACTACGCTGTCGTGCCAGGCCCAGATTCCTTGATATTTGGACACAACAGTAACACTGTAGGAATCCTGTGCATTTTGTGTCACATTATACACACACATATACACACGTATTAATGTAATTTTATCTAGTTCAAAGGCAGAGTTACACAGAGACATATTTTCCATCTACCGGCTCACTCCCCATTGCCATGGCCAGAGCCTGAATCTCCATCGAGATCTCCTGTGTGGGCGGCAGGGGCCCAAGCACCTGAGCTGTGTTCCACCACCTTCCCGGGCACATTAGCAGCGAGCTGCACCCGGGCTTGAACAGATAAGGGACGCTTGGTGTCACAGGCAACAGCTTCATCCATTGCCCTACAATGCTGGCCCCGTATGTGGAAATGGAGACTTGTTTTCCCTGTTTTGAGGATGAGGAAACTGGCACAGGGAATAGCTTAACCGAGATCCCACAATTGGAAAGCAGGGGAGCCCAGATTATGGCGGGTTGGTCTGGCGGGTGTTTTTACTCCGTGCACACGTCGGTTGTGCCCAGGAACACAGTGTGTCTAGCTGTCCTCCCTAGGCTGTTTTCTGGAGCTCCTCTTGCCCTGTTTAAAATTCATGCGTTTCAAACCACCAGTGCCTAACTTCTCACCCTGCAACTATTTGTGGTAACAGAGTTGTTTTTTATGTTACCCACTGTTTGACTTCTAAGCTGTTTGTAGTTTTTGCCATTAGAAACCATGCTAGAACAAACATTCCAAAGCAAGCCTTCATGCATAGCTGCGTTTGCTTTCCTTGGGTTCCGCCACCGTCTTCCTCCCCTTTTCTAGTTCCCTCTTTACAGCCCTGCCCATCTTGCTGAAATGCTGCCGCCCAGAAAGCCCTTCCTTAGCTGCTGCCACCCCAGCTCCTCAATGGCCTCCCTCCTGCCCCGCTGTGTAGACCTCACTCCCTCACCGCATCCACCAACACACTGCTCTTGGCCCCAGCACTCCGGGCTCTGCAGCTTCTATTGTTTAGGTCCTGAGGAACCGCAGGTTTGTTTAGGTCCTCAGGAACGCCCTCTTGGTACCACCTGTCGCCCCACATGGTGGCACTCATTATTGGGGTGCTTTAAGAGGCCTTGGGGTTCATACTCTTTCTTCTCTTGGTTCTCCTTTCTGACTGCTTCTTCGTCGTCTCTCCTGAATTCTTTCAGTGGTTCATGTGCCTGCGGATTTTGTAACCAATTTCTTAAATATTGTTTTGAGAATTTTTTTTATTTTGCAAATTTATGTTGCAAAACAACATGGCTTTACTTCATAAAAATGAGAGATTTTTGGTCCCAGCACGATAGCGTAGCGGTTGAAGTCCTTGCCTTAATGCGCCAGGATCCCATATGGGCACCGGTTCTAATCCCAGTGGTCCCGCTTCCTATCCAGCTCCCTGCCTGTGGCCTGGGAAAGCAGTCGAGGACGGCCCAAAGCCTTGGGACCCTGCACCCGTGTGAGAGACCTGGAAGAAGTTCCTGGCTCCTGGCTTAGAGGCACATAGTACTAGCTAAAAGAAAAGTGCTTTCAACTTAGCTCTGTGAAAAACTCCCTCTATCCCTCCTTTACTCATGTCACTACAGACCAGTGAAAATTTGATCATTAGCAAATGCCACTTTTGAACTGGTGCTTGGAAGCTGTTCTTGTTCCTCTAAGGAATTTGTCTATCCCTCTGGCTTCAGTGTTGACCTACTTTCTGTATCCTAATTTTCCTCAGATTTTTCTTATTTTCTGACTATTCTCAGCTCTAACTTTCTGGGGCAAAAATTCTGATCACAGAAGGCAAACAGGCCCACTGCAGAGCACTGGGCAGCATATGGAAAAAACGGGAAGAGAGCGAAATAAGCCCATTGTCCTCTGGTGACCAGCATGAATAGTTGTTGCAGGCTTCCCTGCTGTGCCGTTTTTCTCTACTCAGACCAACGCGCACATTAGAACCATTAGACTCCTAATTCCTTCTTAAGGCATGGATTACATCACTAATATCCTTCCATGTTTCTCCTTAATAACTCTGGAATTTGTTCCTTTCTGCACTTCCGCTTTCTTGATTTTGACCTTGCCTGCCTTGGTTTTTGCAGAAGCACAAATCAACTTGTCCAATTCCCTCTTCTCTCTCAGAACACCCCCTGAATATCCTCGAAGTGTGTGTTCCAAACCACGAGCCACAACTGTGGCTCTTCTACATAAAGCTTACCCCGTAAGAGAAAGCCCAAACTTCCTAATATCATAGTCAAGATTGTTCTTTTATTATTATTATTATTGTTATTATTATTTTATTTAAAACTTTAAGATTTATCTAGTTTTATTTGAAAGACAGACATGTTACACAGAGCGAGGGGGAGACAGAGACAGAGGTTTTTCCATGTAGCAATTCACTTCCCAAATAGCTGCGACAGCCAGAGCTGGGCCAGGAGCGTCTTCTGGGTTGCCCACTTCGGGGCAGGGTCTAAGAACTTGAGGCATCCTCCACTGCCTTCCCAGGCCCTAAGCAAGGAGCTGGATAGAAAGTGGAGCAGCTGGAACACAAACTGATGCACATATGAAACGCTGGCATCACAGGGGAAGCTTAATGTACTAAACCCCAATCAGTGTCTCCAGGACAGTCCTTGAAACTACTGTCAGGGCCGGACACAGTAGCCTAGTGGCTAAAGTTTCCGCCTTGCATGTCCTGGGATCCCCTGTGGGTGCTGGTTCATATCCCAGCTGCTCCACCTCCCATCCAGCTCCCTGCTTGTGGCCTGGGAAAGCAGTGGAAGACGTCCCAAAGCCTTGGGGCCCTGCACCAATGTGGGAGACCTGGAGGAAGCTCCTGGCTCCTTGTTTCAAGTAGGCACAGCTCCAGCCTTTGTGTCCACTTGGGGAGTGAATCAGCGACTGGAAGATCTTTGCCTCACCTCTCTGTAAATGTGACTTTACGGTAAAAATAAGTAAATCTTTAAAATGAAGAAGAAATGTAAGAACAGTTAGTTCACCAGACTCACCTTGCAGGACCCCCTGAAACACGTGTTACCAGTGTGATGCAGTTGCTGAGCTGCCACCGCCTTGCATCTGGGGAGATGTCAGTGAGCGTTCCTCATAGAATACTGTCGTCGGTTGAATCCATTCCTGTAGCATCCTGTGAAATGTCATTTAGATGCTGCACATGCATAACCGTCTTCCTTGTTGGCACAGTCACGAAGGAGCTGGTCAGCTGGATGCGAGGGCACGAGTCATCCGTGTTTGGCATCTCTGTGCACGCATCGGGGCGGTATGCCATGACAACGTCTTCTGACACCGCACAGCTCTGGGACCTGGATACCTTTCAGAGGAAAAGGAAGCTGAATATCCGCCAGTCCGTGGGGATTCAGAAGGTCGGTGGGAAGTCCAGCTCGATCTCTCGCACCGTTGGCATTGTTTCTTGCTAGGATGTATAGATGATATAAAAACAGTGGCCCCTTTTGTCCCACATACTGGAGCCGTGTCCGCATGATGCAGCAACAAGCAAAGCAAAGTGGCCAGCACAATGAAAGGTGTTGCTTGTCGCTGCAGTTTGTAAATTAACAAACTAAAGCAAACAAGCTCTGCCTTGAAACTTCAGTGTTAATGGTATTCTTTGTTTAGCTGGTGGGCTTTTGTCTGTGCTGTAACTTACACACCTCCTCAGCAGATTTGTAAGAATTTCAGGGTGCACACATGTGGCGCCACCATTTGGAGTCTACCTTTTAAAGATTTACTTATTTCGGGGCCTGACATGATGGCTCAGTGGCCCTGCAAGTCCTGGGATCTCATGGGCTCCAGTTTGTGTCCCAGCTGCTCCACTTCCCATCTCTTCCCTGTTTGTGACCTGGGAAAGCAGTGAAGGATGGCTCAACGCCTTGGGACCCCTTGTGTCTGCTCTTGATCCCTGCTTTGGATTGACTCGGCTCCAGCTATTATGGCCATTTGGGTAGTGAACCAGCAGATGCAAGATCTTTCTTTCTGTCTCCTCTCTTTGTAAATCTGCCTTTTAGGGCCTGGCACGATAGCCTAACAGCTAAAGTCCTCAACTTGCATGTTCAGAGATCCCATATGGACGCTGGTTCATATCCCAGTGGCTCCACTTCCCATCCAGCTCCCTGCTTCTGGCCTGGGAAAGCAGTCAAGGATAGACCAAAGCCTTGGGACTCTGAACCCAAATGGGAGACCTAGAACAAGTTCCTGGCTCCTGGCTTTGGATCAGCTCAGCTCCAGCTTTTGCAGCCACATGGGGAGTAAACCATTGGATGGAAGCTCTTCCTGTCTCCTCCTCTCTGTAGATCTGACTTTGCAGTAAAAATAAATAAAGTCTTTAAAAGATAGCAACAACCTGTTTTATTGGAAAGGCAGATCAGATTTATGCAAGGTGAGGATATATCCATTGAGCCGTAGTGCCAGGCTCATGTCTGTTTTAAAGTAAATTCTGAACATCAATGTACCTTTCCATAAGCATTGAAGCCTGTTTTTAATTAGCTATTATTTAATATTTGTTGATATAAAATTTGTGTATAACAAATGCATATGTCTAAATATTCATTTGATAATTTTGAAAACTGGAAAAACCTTTATAGCCTGTGTACATTTCCTGCCACCCCCATCCCAGAAAGTTGCATCATTTTCTTACATAAACGTTCCCTTTTAAAGCTTTTCCACTGTGGATGGGTTTTGCCCGTTCTAAAATTTCATATAAAGAGAACTGTTCATGATAGTTTTAGGCTTTTATCACTCAGCAGAATGTTTTTGAGATTTTTCCATCTGTATATGTCACTACTGTGTTCGGCTTTACTGCTGGTAAGTATTCTATTGTATGAATATACTACTTTTACATAAATTAAACGTTCATTTTAATTTTTTTTTATTTTTTTCACTTAACTACTTCTTCCAGAAATAGATGAGTCTCCCATGTGATTAATTATTTTGCCTTAGGTTATATTATGCAGTGTTGCTTTTTAATCTCTTGGTTATTAACATGAGCAACTTACAATGCATGTCAACCAAGAATTTATTTTGTAATCTCTGTGGGAATCCCAGAGTTCTTTAGTGTGTCGTTAATAATTAAAAAGAGGTAAAAGTTGTGACCAGCTTTTTCATTCGAGATTTAGGCCAAATGTCTTAGTAGGTCTGTTCTTCTTTAATTGCTTTAGTACTTAAATTGAATTTTAAATTCCAAAACGGGGAATGCATTGGGAGTTGAACCCACAATGGAAACAAAGTTATGAAACAATGACACAGAAACCATCTGTTCTTTTTACCATGAAACTAAAATTAGTACACACTGAGTGGTTGCCAGGCTAACCTTGCTTCATCCTTTAGATGTCTGAGTTTCCAAAACAGTACTGCAAAGCGTTAGTGCTGTAAGAATAGAATTAAGTGTGTGAATAGAGTGACATATAAACTGTAAGTGGATTCGACATTGGCACACCAGGGTCGCAAGCAAGCTGCTTGGTGTTGGTTTGTTTGTTTGTTTTTTAGGACCAAATAGTAAGTATTTTTGGCTTTGTAGGCCAAAAGAAAAATTATATAGCCATGTAAAAACCATTCTCAGTGCTGGGGCTATGCAAAAACTGGAAGATGACTAAATGGTTACCCCTCCTGGTTTTCACTGTCAAAAAGTAGCGAATAACTAATCTTAATTAACGAAATCTTAAACTGTAGCTTTATTTCTTACCAAATTTTTATTAAATCTATGTTTCATTCTAGTTTCTTATTCTGTATCTTCAGTAGAACCATCATATGTCTGGATGACCCTCTTAAAGTAACTGTCCTGGAGTTTTTTGCTGTGGAACGCATGCATTTTAAGATGGCTCTTTTCATGTAAAACAGTCCTCCATCTCCTTCTCCCTGCCCTGCCCCGGGACATTAATTTTGTGCCGAGACCAAGCCAGTTGCTTAACCAATGCCCCACATTCAGGATTTGTCCCAGTGGTTCATCATTGTTGTTTAACTTACTTTCCTAACCTCTACAGTTTAAAAGCTTTTGTAGGTTCAGATTAAACATTTGGATAAACTGTTTACCTTGTGTATATGATAATAGCAATGATAGATTGATCTGAGCATTGAATGTAAGCGTCTGTGCCAACCACTTTGCGTAGTGCTGATTGTATAGTAAGCGCTAAGTAAAAGTGAAGCTCGCTGCCATTTCTTTTATGGTTATCTCATTCAGCTTATAGAACTACTTCTGTGCATTTAAAGTTTTTTTATTTAATTAATTTTTTAAAATTTTATGATACAATTCCATAGACTCTGTTGCAATGTTCTTAACAGCCCATAAGCAGAGGGTTTAGCTAGCTCTTGAGATATCAGTATCCCACTCGAACCCAAAACTGGTTCAAGTCCCAACTGCTCAACTACTTCATCTCTATATATTTGTGTGTGTGTGTGTGTGTGTGTGTGTGTGTGTGTGTAAAAGGCAGAGTTACAGAGAAGGTGAAACCCAGAGATCTTCATCTGCTGGTCACTCCCCAAATGGCTGTAATAGCTAGAGCTGGGCACACCTGAAGCCTGGAGCCAGGAGCAAAGTCTGAAATGAGCGGACATGAGGTTGAAGTATGAGTATATTTCAGTATAAATTGTTTCCCTAGGAACTTGGGCTTTGTACACAATGCGTAGTCTGGCGCTGCGGTGTTAAATGAGTTAAACTTCCACCTATAATGTCGACATCCCATTTGGCACCAGTTCATGTTCTGGCTGCTCTGCTCCTGATCCTGCTCCCTGAAAATGCACCTGGGGGAGCAGCGGAGGATAGCCCCTGCTACTCTTTGTGTGAGAGTTAGATGAAGCCCCTGGCTGCTTGTGTAGACCTGGCCCAGCCCCAGCCACTGTGGCCATTCAGGGAATGAACCATTCGGTGGAAGATTTCCCTGACTCTGTAAATCTGCCCTTCAAATAAATAAAATAATCTTCATTTTTAAAAAAATCCACGTTACTTTTAAAGAAAATATTAAATTACCTTTCTAAAATTGCAGATAATTCTGAAACACACTTAGATTTTTAGAGAAGGAACTACAAAGCATTAATTTCAAGATGTTTTTAAAGCATATAACCGCTCTAACTTCTCACTGATTTTTGTGTGTAATAGTAGTGGTGATTAGTAGCAACAGATTGCAGTTGTTGCATACCTCCTGTATAAGTTTATGCTTTACATAATCCTTTTACGCTTAAATAACACTGGAAGTATTTTTAAGCTGAGACGGTGCAGGAGGGGACGCGGAAGTGCAGAAACACTGAGTTGTGTGATGGCCCGTAGCTTATGAAACAGCCACTCCACTGTGCCGTCTCACTGCTGGAAGCCAGTTCTCTAGAAAATCATGAATTCTGTTGTTGGTGCTTAGAGGTAGGCTAGTCAGCCCTTTAGTTACAGAGTTTGAGATAAGCCTTGGGATTTGTCACTGCTCCGGTTCAGTATATACTGGGAACAGGTCTGTGAGGAAAGTTAGGAAACAGTGGATTGAATGTGTCATCGAATTGTTTCTAGTCTCTATGTGATGAGACCTCACTAAATTCTTGCACGTTTGACTCAAACTCTAAACTCTTTAAACTTTGTTGTATTTTCAAGAGTTACTTATTTATTTGAAAGGTAGAGTCACAGAGAGAGAGACAGTAAAAGAGATCTTGCCACTGCTGGTTCACTTCTCAAATGGCCACAATAGCCAGGGAGGGGCTTAGCCGAAACCAGGAGCCAAATACTTGGGCCATCGTTCACTGCTGTCTCAAGCCACTAGCCAGGAGCCAGATCAGAAGTGGAGCAGCCAGGCCTTGAGCAGGCGCCATATCAGGTATGCCGGCATGTCAGGCAGTAGGTTGACCATGAGGTCACAACAGCTTCTGGACCTTTAAACTCCGACTTGAACTCACATTCTACGGGGCAAATCTGCAGCCCTATCTTAGAGTCCATCCCCCTCCCAAACTACATTTTGTTAATGTTTTACAAATTTTTTTTTTATGCTTGTCAAGGGATGACACTGTCTAAATAATAATGACATGATTCATTAGGAACAATTTTATAACCATTAAAATATGGCAATTAAAATCAAAAATCGAGTAATGAATAATCATGCCAGCAATAATCTATCACAGCTATTCCCCTAAAATAACAGTTGATGCTCATTAACTCATAAGCTTTTGCTTTTCCCAGTAGGAATAAACTTTATTACTTTTCTGGGAAAATGACTGCTAATTATAATACAAATTTTCTGGAGTTATTTCTTGACATCCTCTCTGAGTTGGTTGGTGACTTTTTTTTTTTAATGAAACATTTATTTAAAAAGCAAAGAGACAGAGTTCTCTGCTGGTTCACTCCTCACACACCCCAGCAGCCAGGGTTGGGCCGGCGGGATGCCGGAAGCCAGGAGTTCCATCTCCGTGTCCTGGCTGGCACCTGGAACCCAGCACTCAGGTACTATGTACCGTGTTCCCTACACTGTCACCAAGAATGAGCATTTTGTAAGATTTAGCAGTAGTTAAGATTTAATATAGTTTTATATTAATTCTCAGTATATGCATATAATTTGTGTATAGTGTTTATGTATATCAGTTTTTGAAAAGATGGTTTTTTATTTTTTGAAAAACCTACAGAGACAAAGACAAGGAGAGATAGAGCGTCCATCTACTGGGTCATTTCCCAGATGGGCCAGGCCAAAACTAGGAGCCAGGAACTTCATCTGGGTCTCTGTGTAGGTACCAGAGGCGCCAGCACTTGGGCCACTTGCTGTTGGCTTAGGGCCTTAGCAGGGAGCTGAATGGAAGGTGGAGAGGCTGGGACAGCACCCCTAGGGGATGCCAGAACTGTGGGTGGTAGCTTTACCCACTGTGCCAGAAACTCAAGATGGTACCATATTTTCATTTAAGTCTTTTAATAGAAAGTAAAATTTCATAAATTGTTATTTAGAATTTTGTGAAATGCCTAGTCATTGCAGTTACCTTTTTGATTTTAAATTTTAATTAAAAATCAGTTTAATTTTTAGTTTATGATAGTTTGTGAAATATCAGTATTAGCCCTTACATATAAGCGTGTTTTCCTCCAGTTTAAGGAAAGGTGATTTAACAAAAGAAAGACTGACTACTTTGCATAATTTAAATGTAGAGAGTCCTCTATGAACTATGTGAAAAACAAAACAAAACAAAAAACATTTCCTGTCTTCCTTCTAGGTGTTTTTCCTGCCATTGAGTAACACCATTCTCAGCTGTTTTAAAGATAATTCCATTTTTGCCTGGGAATGTGACACTCTGCTTTGCAAGTATCAGTTGCCAGCTCCACCTGAAAGCTCCAGTATATCATACAAAGTTTTTGCTGTGACCAGGTATTGCACCTTTTAAAACATTTTGAATTTAAATAAAAATTAATGTGTGATTGTCAACTTTGAAAGAAAGAGGCAGAGCTCTTCCACCGCCTAGCTTATTCCCCAGATACCTACAATAATTGGAGTTGGGCCAGACCTAAGCCAAGGGCCACGCGGTTGGCGGCAGGGTCCAAACACGTGGGCCATTTCAGACTCATCGCAGGGACTTGGCTTGGAAGTGTAACAGCTGGGTCTTGAACCAGCAGCTGTGTGGTATGCATTGCGATGCTGGCACTTTTATCATTGCGGGAGTGCTGTTGGACAGGCTTGCTGGAATCCCTGAGCCGGTCGTCCTTGTTTTGTCGTCTAGAGATGGCCGAATCCTAGCTGCCGGAGGGAAATCGAATCATCTTCATCTGTGGTGCCTCGAGGCCACACAGCTCGTCAGGATCGTCCAGATGCCCACCAGCGTTCGAGCCGTTCGTCACCTGGAGTTCCTTCCCGATAGTTTTGATGCTGGTTCTAATCAGGTAACACAATAGCCCAAAATCTGCTTTTTGAGAAAGATCACATCCTTTTCTAATTCTTGTTTATATAACTCATATCCCTGTATAGGAATTTGAATTTGTTAATGTTTTTGTATAGACTCTGGAGTTGAAAATTTTCAAAATTTCAGGTTATGCTGTTGACAACTCACTGTTTTAAAAAAAAAATCCATATATTTTGAATTTCTGTTGTATTCTCTGGAGTACAGGTTGCTTTAGCATTTTTCTTTTTCAACGTGATACCTGATTCTTTGAACAGATGCAGGGAAGGCGTTCTCTCTATTAAGGTTGGGTAATTACATAAGGATTAAACATGGAACTACTTAAAATTGTCATGGTTTGCTATACTGTTTTACATATCATAACTAGTTGACTCACTTCAGTGAACCATTTTTTAAATTTTGTGTTAATTCACTCGTACTAATTGTGCCTACTCATGGGCTACAGAAATGCTGTAATTCCAGTATTGAATGTCTTGATCACATCTAAGGATCGTGTTTTATTTGTGTCATTTTGCAGTTTATGGAATGTTTGTTCTTCCTTCCTCTCTTTTTTCTTTGTAATAGACTATCGTGATTCTTGCAATCGAACAAACTAACTGGATATATGTTTCTTTGTGTGTGTTTATTCATCTATTTCACTTCAGTTTTTGGAGAGATAATCCCGTCAGTGGTTGGAAACGGAGAAAGTCAATGAGCCCCTCACTCCTCTCCCATCTGGCCGTTGCTGCTCCTCTCCTTCGTAATCACTGTCGTTACACGTTCTGTTGTGTTTTTCCTGCATTTAAAAAATGTACTTATTTGAAAAAGCAATGGAAAGAGGGAGAGATGGAAAGAAAAAGAGGAGAAAAGTGGAGATTTTCATCTGTTGCTTCACTCCTCAACTAGTCACAACAGGCCAGGTGTTTTCCAGCCTGAAGCCAGGAACTCCATCCGGGTCTCCCACCAGGCCTTACTTGGGCCGCCTTCCATTGCCGTCCTGGCACACTAGCAGGCTTCAGAAGCAGAGTGATCAGGACTCGAACCAGTGCTCCACAGCATTGCAAGTGATGGCTCACTGGGCTGTGCCACAGTGCCCATATCCTCCCCACTTCCGTAAAAGCTGTATGTATGCACTTGGTCAACTCTTGGTCATCTCTGGACCAATTCTGTACAGCGTAATACTCTCTCCTGGTGCTGGTCTGGACCAATTCTGTACAGCGTAATACTCTCTCCTGGTGCTGGTCAGCGGTGTCGAGCTACCGTGTCCGCGCAGCCACACGGTCACAAAAGGAAGTGCCATGCACTGTGTTGCAATGATAGGGTGTTTAGTAGTTGTATAAAATGCATTTTCAACTTGCAGTGAATTTTTCTGGATCAAGCTCCATCATAAGTTGAGGAAAGTCTCTGTGTGTGTGTGTGTGTGTGTGTGTGTGTGTGTGTGTGTAAAATTGTAATTGTAATTATAATTGTAAATGAGTGTAATTTGAAATACTGGATTTTCACGCTTTGGGGGCCTCTTGCTTTCTCCCCCCTTAGGTCCTTGGAGTGTTGAGTCAGGATGGTATTATGAGGTTTGTCAACATACAGACATGTAAGCTGCTCTTTGAGATTGGGAGTGTTGATGAGGGTATCAGCTCCTCGGTGGTCAGCCCGCATGGACGCTACATCGCGTCCATCATGGAGAACGGGAGCCTGAACATATACTCAGTCCAGGCGCTGACGCAAGAAATAAACAAGGTATGTTATCAAGAAAACCAGTTTCATTTTTTTTTTCAAGTTTTATTTTATTTTTATTTGAAAGGCAAAGTTACGGAGAGAAGCAGATCTTCTGTCCACTGGTTCATTCCCTAAATAGCCACTATGACTGGAACTAAGCCAACCCAGAGCAGGAGTCAGAGCTTCTTCTGGGTCCCCCATGTTGGTGCAGATGCCCAAGGGCTTGAACCTTCCTCGCTGCTTTCCCAAGCCACAAGCAGGGAGCTGGATGGGGTGTGGAGCAGCTGGGTCATGTGCCGGTGTCGCAGGTGGAAGACTAGCCTGCTATAATGCTGGCCCCTCAAGAACATCCGTTTTACAAGAACACCTAAATATCATGTTATTCAGAATAAAATAGTTGCTACTATTGTAGTTCCCATGGGAACTGCCCGTTTCCTGACTGTCCCTTGTTACTCTCAGGTCACAGCTGCAGCCTTGGTTTCGCCCCTATGCTGCTCCATTCTGAAACCACTCCTCTCTCAAGAGCATCTCTCTATTGGGTGTCCCTGCCGCGTTCAAAGGGTCATCTCTGCTTTTTTATTTTTTCAGCCACCTCCTCCTTTAGTGAAAGTGATTGAGGATTTGCCTAAGAACAGGCTGAGTTCCGGTGACCTTCAGATGAAAGTAACAGCAGGAAAAGTTCAACGACCAGCCTTACGGCCCAAGGACAGCAGAATACAAACTAGAATATTGAAACAAGACCTGACTGGTAATGTTGAAAACAAAGAGGTAAGAATCCATCCACTTAGACAGGCTTGGTCCCCATTCTGCTCGCTGGAAGCGCTTTACACCTAAGTGGTTGTTACACTTCCTCGTCCTCAGCATTAAAGGAACATCCCATCTCGAGAAGAGGATTGCGAGTGAAGTCACCATGCATTTCTTTCGGAAAGGCAGAATGATAGAAAGCACACAGAGAGGTCTTCCTTCTCCTGGTTCACACTCCAAAATGGCCACAATGGCCAAGGTTGGGCCAGAGCACCTGAGTCGCCCACTTGGGTACAGCGGCCCAAGCACTTGGGCTGTCCTCCACTGCTTTCCCCGGTGCATTAGCAGGGAGCTCAGACAGGTGCCTGCCTACATGGGATGCCAGCACCGCAGACAGCAGCCTAGCTCTCTATGAAATGAAACCAGCCCCACAATGCACTTTTTATACATTTTAGTGAAAATATAAAACATTTCTGGAGAATTGCACTGCCCAGTGTACGAGCCATGCTGTGGCTGCTAAGTGATGTGGGCGTGGCTGGCCTGAAGGTGGCTGCAGGTGTCAGGGTCACAGTAAGAGTGCCAAGGCAGTTAGTACTGCTTTGTGCTGATTATATGCTGAATTATTACTTTGATTATTTGGGGCTAAATATGCTACGAAACCTAATTTTTCCTGCTTGTCCTTACTTTTTTTTTTTAAGATTTATTTATTTTTATTAAGCAATTACACAGAAAGACATAGAGAAAGATCCTTCATCCACTGATTCACTCCCCAAGTGGCCACAACAGCCAGAGCTGAGCCAATCTGGAACCAGGATCGGGAGCTTCTTCTGGGTCTCCCACAAGGGTGCAGGGTCCCAGGCTTCAGGTCATCCTCTGCTGCTTTCCTAAACCATAAGCAGGGAGCTGGATGGGATGTGGAGCAGCCAGGATACAAACCGGCACATTCAGGGCAGGGAATTAGTCATTAGGCTATTGCGCCAGGCCCCGACTGCCTGTTTCTTATGAGAACAAGAGCATTGAACTCAGTCAGAAAATCTGGCCTCAAGTCTTGAGCCAAGACCTTACAGTTATGTAAATGTGAGCAAGTCACTAAACTTTTCCAACTTTCCCACTTTCTAGAAAACAGGAAGGGGACAGGCATCGCAGCACAGTGGGTTAAGCGCTGCTTTGGGACACCCAAATTCCGTATCTGAATGCCTGAGCTGGAGTCCTGCCTCTGCTTCGGAGTCAGCTGCCTGCTTGTGGGCGCCTTGGAGACAGCAGACATGGCTAGCCGCATGGGAAATCGCAAGAAGGTTCCTGGCTTCGGCCTGGCCAGACCCTGCTGTTACAGACATTGGAATAAATATAAATAAATACCTTTCAAATAAATACAAGTAAACACCCTTGGAGAATAAAGGAACATAACAATCCCATCTGTGTGACATAGTTGTTAAGATCCAAGAAAATAACCAGTGAAACCAGTTTATAATCAGAAATCCTATGAAATCATAATAAAATCACAGTGGACTTCAGTTTTTTAAATAGAATAGATTGTCAGTAAAAGCTTGTGATTATTGGCGCTTCATAAGGTGACATGGAGAACTAGAGAAGTTCTCAGATTTGTCCTTCATTCTTTCATCCTAGAAGTTATCCAGAGTTAAAAGAAAGAAGGCTAGCATGACGGTACAGCCCACTAAGCCACCACTGCATGTGAGCACCAGCTGCAGTCCTGGCAGCTCCACTTGCTGGTGCACCTGGAAAGGCAGCGGAAGATGACCCAAGAACCTGGGTCGCCTGCCACCCGTGTAGGAGACCCGGATGGAGTTCCAGGCTCCTGGCTTCAGCCTGGACCATCCTTGAATGCTACAGCCATTTGCATAGTGAGCCTGTGGATGGGAGATTTCTTTCTCTGTCTCTCTTCCCTTTCTAAAACTCTGCCTTCCAAATAGGTAAGATAAATCTTAAGAAATAAAGGAAAAGGAAGGGCCTATTGCAGTAGCATAGTTGCTAAAGTCTTTGCCTTGCACATGCTGGGATCCCACATGGGCACTGGTTCTAATCCCAGAGACCCTGCTTCCCATCCAGCTCTCTGCCTGTGGCCTGGAAGGACAGGAGAGGACAGCCCAAGGCCTTGGGACCCTAAACCTGCATGGGAGACCCAGAAGAGCTCCTGGCTCCTGGCTTCGGCTCGGCTCCAGCCGTTGCAGCCGCTTGGGGAGTGGATCAGCAGATGGGAGATGTTCCACTCTGACTCTCCTCTCTGTATATCTGACTTTCCAATAAAAATAAATCTTAAAATAAAACAGGGGTGGAGGGTAGGGCTGGGGAGAACATATTAAATTTCTTAGTTTTAATGCAGAAGTTGCCAGTGACAGCCTGTGAGTCTGATGTGCTTACTTCACATTTTTATGTATTTAAATGGCTGCGTTTTAAGTTGTTATAAAAATGCCTACATAATATTCTCCACTGTCACTCAGCCCACAAAACCTGACATTTCTACTAATTACCTGCTCTCAGAAAAAGTTGCTAAGCCCCCATCTAGGGAAGACTTTATTTGCCATGTGCATGCCCTCTTGAGAGTGAGGAGAGACCCTGTGACAGCCACGTGGACCTTACTGTGTGTCGTGTCCAGAGCTGGAAAACCGCTGAAGCCTGGGTTAGCATTTGTTCTTATCATCGTTTGATTTACCACTTACTGAAACTTTTTTTTCCCTTCAGAATGAATTATCAGATGGGTTAAATAAAAAACGTTTGCAGATCTTACTAAAAGGATATGGTGAATATCCAACCAAATACAGGTAATAGGTAAATTTTTTTAGATAAAATTGGCTTTATTCAAAGAAATTTTTTTAATTAAAATTATGCTTTAATTTCAGGATGTTTATTTGGCGCTCTCTGCTACAACTGCCTGAAAATCATACTGCGTTCAGTAGCCTGTTGGATAAAGGCACTCACGTGGCGTTTCTGAACCTTCCGCAGAAATACCCCATCAAAAGCAGGAAGCTCCTCAGAGTCCTGCAGAGGTGTGTTCAGCGTATCCCAGAACCTAAGCCTGGCAGTGGCTTTAAGTCCTCTCTTTATAACATATTGGTCACCTTACATGATGTGTTGGTTGGCTTAATTTGAAAAACGAAATACGTCCAAATATGCATTTATATTGTATTTGAGTATTCGTGTCATTATTCTAGAGAATAGGACTTCCACAAAATTTATCTAGAGTGGGAGCATCTGGCAGGCAAGCTGAACAAGACCCCAAAAGCCAAGGCACCTACAGGAGGGACTCAAAAGCAGTAACTCTAGAGCAGGCCGATTTTAAGTTGGCCATCTTGGATGCCCTCGAGTGATGTTATAAGTATCCAAATGATCCTCAAAAGAAAAAGGGCGCCTCACCCCTCTCAGGAAATGGGGCTGCACAACTTGAAGGACTCTGAATTTGAAGCTAGAAGGTTTGAGTCCTTGTTCCATCACGTAATAGCTGTGCTATAGGATGTGTCGCTTGGCCTCGGTCAGCCCTGATTTCTCTGTCTGAAAGTGGAAGTAACAACAGCAACATCATAGAACTGTGTGGAGCTCAGGGGCAAAGAGGTCACTAAGTCAGTAAGATGGCGACTAACAGTCAAGGTCACTGGGTTACATGTGGCGAGCAAGGTGGCGGCCAAGGACAGGCTATGCCATGGTCAGAGGGTCCCCCCACGTTCATGCAGAGCCACGGGATGCCAAGGGTCACTTCAGCAGAACTGCTTGGGAAAATAGGATGAGAATCTCTGAGGAAGTGCTATAGTATATCCAGTTCAAAAATGTACCCAGGAAATAATAATAGCTAATCATTTAAAAGGCTTTTCATATGAAAGACACGTTAAATATGCACTTATTTTACAAGTAGAGAAACTAAGTGGCTAGGTAATGTGATCCAGGCATGAAGTATTAGAGCTTGGCATTAAGCCAGGCGCAAGAGTCTAAAACATTTTAAAGAGTTTTCATTATGAAATTCTTCAAGCATAAATAAAAGTAGTATAATATAATAGTATACTCGTAACATCCTCCAACTCCAACAACTTATTCGATCAGTGGATTCTGACTCTTTGTTTTTTCCTTGCAATTTAACTGTTGAGGAAATTTGAAAACTTTCCCATATTCTGGATTTTGCTGATTATATTTCCGTGGTTTCATTCAGATACTCTTTTTTTTTTTTCAATATTTATTTATTTTCTTATTTGAAAGGCAGATTCACAGAGAGAAGAGACGGAAAGATCTTGCATCAAATGATTGACTCCCCAGTTGGCCACAACAGCTGGGGCTGAGCTAATACAAAGCCAGGAGCCAGGAGCTGCATTGACATGCTGCCTTGAGTCCCAGCTACTCGGTGGCCAGTACTCGGCCCCTGCCTCTCTGGGGGGGACCAGGACAGAGCACCTGCCTCCTGGCTTCAGTCACGTGGGGAGTAAAGCAATGGATGGAAGATTTTCCCTCTCCAAAGAATGGAGGACTTAGCTCATTGTTATTTTTTTTTTATTTTTTTAAAGATTTGTTTGTTTATTTGAAAGTCAGAGTTCCAAAGAGAGGGAGAGACAGGGAGAGGTATCTTCCTTTAGCTGGCTCCCTCTCCAGATAGCCACAAGGGCCAGGGCTGGGCCAGGCTCGGGCAGGGCTCAGAAGCTGCTTCTTGGTCTCTTACGAGGGTGGCAAGGGCCCAGACACTCGGACCGTCCTCCACTGTTTTTCCCAGGCTGTTAGAAAGCTGGATCAGAAGTAGAGCAGCTAGGGCACAAACCAGTGCCCCACAGGTGCCAGCGTTGAGGCAGGAAATCAGCAGTGTTTTGTTTTTTTTTTTTTAAGAGAAATGAAATTAGAAATAAATGTGTGAGATAATCCCAGGCTAAAATGGGTCTTTCTAAGCGTGGTGTATCAAATAAGAGATCAATGAGAATGAAAATCCCTGCGTGTTGAAAAAGGCTTCCTGGAGTCACATGTAAAAATGTCTACAAAACATATGATTAACAGAAGGCTGATTTCCTTAATATGTGATGTACTTCTGTAAACATAACAAGAACCAGCCAACAAAAAATGGATAAAGAATGTAATATCTAGTTCACAGCGGTGAGAATGGCTCTTTTTGTTTTCTAAATTTATCTGGAAGAGAGAAAAAAGTGTCTTTCATTTGCTGGTTTATTCCATAAACGTTGTCCGCAGCTGGCCCTGTGCGACACATCAGCCAGCTGTGGCGTGAGACAGCAGGTATGCCGTAAGGTACGCCAATGATGGGAGTATAAATAGAAATTTTTTTAAGGAGGAAAATTTGACCCTGGCTATTGACATGGGTCAATACACATATCCTTTGACTCAGCAATTCCACTTCTAGGATGTTATCCAAATATGTATTCGTACATTTAAAAAAAAAAAGGCGTATGCATTTGTTGGCATTAAATGCAACATTGTTTATGAAAGATTGGGAACAACCTAAATGCGAAAAAATAAGGATCATGTTAAAGAAGCGAAGCTGTACTCACGCAGAGCTGCGGTCTGCACCTGTGAGATGCCGTGAGGAAGTTGTACCTGTACCGATCCAAGCTATTTGCAGCGAGTCCAAAGGCACGGAGCGGGGTTGGGTGTTTGTAATAATACACAGCAGTGGGGGATTTTTGTTTTGAGGAAGGGTTCATTTATGCTCTTAACGGGCAGTTCTGCACAGGTGAGCTAGCCGATGGGGAGAGCTTCGAGTTGACCTGTGGCAAAGCTTTCAGCACATGCAGGTGTTACTTCCTGTTATTTCGTGGTGTCTGTGAGTTCCTGTTTCCTGACCCTGGTTTCTTGATCTCACTCCCAGAACACTGTCCGCGTTAGCTCATTGGTCTGCCATCTTCAGCGACACGCCGTATCTTCCGCTCCTGGCATTTCCGTTTGTAAAACTGTTCCAGAACAATCAGCTCATCTGTTTTGAAGTGATTGCTACTCTCATAAGTAAGTAGATCTTTATTACAGAATGAAACCAGCAGTGGATCCTTATCCATTTGTCTGATGTCTTTGTGCCTTTGTAATGATTTGTAGCTCTAGATTTCTCTGTTTTTAAATCAAAAGGAAAGAATGAAATGCTCAAGTCTGAGCATAAAATAGGATATTTCAACTTTTTTTTCCCCCTTAGGTTGTATTGATTTTTTTTAAGATTTTTTTTTTTTTATTTGAAAATCAGACATACAGAAAGGAGAGACAGAGAGAAAGATCTCCCATCCGATGATTCACTCCCCAAGCAGCCGCAACGGCTGGAGCTGAACCAATCTGAAGCCAGGAGCCAGGAACTTCCTCCCTGTCTCCCATGCAGGTGCAGGGTCCCAAAGCTTTGGGCTGTCCTCGACTACTTTCCCAAGCCACAGGCAAGGAGCTGGATGGGAAACGGGGCCCACCGGGATTAGAACCAGCAGCCCATATGGGATCCCAGCGCAGTCAAGCCAAGGACCCTAACCACCACGCTAATGCGCCAAGCCCTGTATTGATTTTTTTATTGGAAAGAGAGCGCTGTATTGATTTTTTATTCACAGAGAGCAGAGACAGAGAAAGATCTTTCATATTCTGGTTCACTCCCCAAATGGCCGCAGTGGCCGGAACTGAGCTGATCCAATGCCAGGACCAAGAGCTTCTTCTGGGTCTCCCACATGGGTGTAGGGTCTCAAGGCTTTGGTCCATCCTCCACTGCTTTTCATTGCTTCTTCTAGGTTCATTAACAAAATGGTGGGTCAGAAGGAACAGCTGGGACTAGAACTGGTACCTGTTAGAGGATGCCACTGTTGCAAGCAGAGGCTTAGCTAGCTGTGCCGGGTCAGTCCCAGGAGGGTCTCTAGGGAAGGGTTTAGAAACACGCACAGGTGATGCTTGCACACAAGGACACTTTGAAAAGTTTCCTGAGAAATATATACTGTGAAAACCTATGAAGCACTTCAGATGTTTTTTGTGCCAAAATAAACTTGATTTAGCAACATTAATCCACTGTTTTATTTACTTATTAGAGAGATGGGCAGAGAGCGAAGTGAGGCAGACAGGAATTGAACTGGTGCCCATGTGGGATTGCTGCTGTTGCAGAGGGCAGTCTAACCCACTAGTGACGACACAGGCCTCCTTCTATAAACTTTTAAAAAATGGATGTAAATAATACCTCAGAATTGTATGGTGAAAATGGCAAATCATATGTAATTTGCCACAATTAAGAAAGAATAGAAGCAGGTTATATCTAATTTAAATAGGCAGGGAAAACTTTTTATTTCTGGTATAGTCTTGTATGTATGGTTGTGTGCTTAGGGAATTAACTTTTCTATCGTACGTGAAAGCTTCATTGCGAGATTACATCTCCTTGATGATCAGTCAGCATGGGTGACTTTCGACCTCCATCAAGGGTCTCACATTAGTTTTATCTGATTTGGTACACGAGCTCCCCTCCCCCTCCCTCTCTGGGGTATGCCGTTGCTCTGGCCTTCCGGCTTCCAGTCTCGCTGAGACCTAAAAGAAACTTCAACGGAAAACATGACTTGTGTTTAATTTGAAATGCTTTTGTTTTTAAGATTTTATTATTTTATTTTTATTGCAAAGTTAGATATACAGAAAGAAGGCAAGACAGAAAGCAAGATCTTCTGTCCATTTATTCACTCCACAAGTGGCCGCAACGGCTGGAGCTAAGCCAACCTGAGCCAGGAGCCAGGAGTTTCTTCCAGGTCTCTCATGTGGTGCAGGATTCCAACACCTTGGACCGTCCTCGGCTGCTTTCCCAGGCCACAAGAAGGGAGCGGGATGGGAAGCGGGGCCGCTGGGATTAGAACTGGCACCCATATGGGATCCTGGCACGTGCAAGGCAAGGACTCCAGCTACTAGCCCATTGTGCCAAGCCAGGAATGTGGGTCTTTTTTTTTTAAGATTTTATTATTATTTAATTTTTATTGGAAACTCTGATATACAGAGAGGAGGAAAGACAGGGAGGAAAGATCTTCTGTCTGCTGATTCACTCCTCAAGTGACCGCAACAGCCAGAGCTGAACCAATCAGAAGCCAAGTGCCAAGAGCCTCTTCCAGGTCTCCCAATGCGGGTACAGGGTCCCAAGACTTTGGGCCATTCTCGATTGCTCTCCTAGGCCACAAGCAGGGAGCTGGGTGGGAAGCAAGTCTGCTGGGATTAGAACCAGAGCTCATACGGGATCCTGGCGCGTGCAAGGCAAGGACTATAGCCGCTTGGCTATTGCAGTGGGCCCAATTTGGAATGTATTTATAAAAGTCATTTCAGACAGTAGCTTATGGCCAGGTGGCAATTCTTTGAGTAAAGAATCTCCATTCCGTTGATCATTTCTCTTTATTTCACTGTCAGTCGGCTAGCTGTGTCCCTCTGCCCTCTGCCTCCTTGCCTGGTTGCACCGAAGCAGAACGGAAAGGCTTAAGAGGAAGCAGGTGGTCACCTCCGGCAGGATTCACCTCTCACTAGGAAGCAGGGTTCTGTTAATAAAGACCACGCTGGAGGATCTGGACTTCGGGGATGTGTGTGACTTGCTCCCTCTTTTTAGGATTTACTGATTTGAAAAGCAGATCGATAGAGGGGCTGGATGTGGGGAAGAGATCTTCCTCCACTGGTTTCCTGCTGAGCTGGCCGCAGCAGGCGGGGCTGGTGCAAGTGGAGCCTGGAGTTCCTTCTGGGTCTCCCATAAGGGAACAGGTGCCCAAGCACTTGAGCTGTCCATGGCTGCCTTCCCAGGCACATTAGCAGGGGGCTGATTCGGAAATGAAGCATCTTGGGATTCAATCCTGTGCTGATATGGGATGCTGCCTTGTAGGCATCAGCTTAGCTCACTACACCACAACACTGGCCCCCATGTGTAGCCTTTTAAATTCCCAGAACCATTAGTGTCTGGGACATAACAGGGACTTAGTATTGCTGAACCTGATATTTCTTTTAAGATAAATTTATTTAACAACAGAAGTTTGAAAAAGAGTTTCTTAGTCTGCAAAATCTTACTTGGCTTAATTATTAGCTCAAATTAAATATTCCTTGATTAACGAGGTAATGACTTTCCAGAATTGGCAGTCCTTATGACCATATGCGATCCTGTGTTCCTCTGATAAAACCTTCTACTGGTAACTTTTTTAAAGCTGCATTTATTTTTATTGGACAGTCAGATTTACAGAGAGAAGGAAAGACACACAAAGATCCTCCGTCCTCTGGTTCTCTCCCTAGGTGTTCACAACAGCTGGAGCTGAGCTGGTCCAAAGCCAGGTCTCCTGTGTGGGTACAGGATCCCGAGGCTCTGGGCCGTCCTCAGCTGCTTTACCAGGCTACAAGAAGGGAGTTAGGAGAGAAGTGGAGCAGCCAGGATGCAAAGCAGCATCCGTATGGAATCCCAGCAATTGCAAGGCAAGGATTTAGCCACTAGGCCATCACACTGGGCCCTCTATTGATAATTTTAAAAAGAAGATCTCATTATTATTGAAGAATAAAACTGGAGTTGGCTACGTGCTGCAGCAGTTTAAGCTGCTGCTCGCATTGCTGGCATCCCATATGGGCACCAGTTTGAATCCCGGCTGTTCTACTTCCCATCCAGCTTCCTGGGAATGTCCCTGGAAAAGGCCGCGGAAGATGACCCAAGTGCTTGGAAAAAATTCCAGTAAGTCTAGGATAACTGGGGCCTGGTGGCATGGCCTAGCAGGTTAAGTCCTCACCTTGAACACACCAGGATCCCATATGAGCGCCGGTTCTAATCCTGGCAGCTCCACTTCCCTTCCAGCTCCCTGCTTGTGGCCTGGGAAAACAGTCAAAGACAGCACAAAGCCATGGGACCCTGCACCCACGTGGGAGACCCGGAAGAACTTCCTGGTTCCCAGCTTCTGATTGGTTCAGCTCCAACCATTGCGATCACTTGGGGAGTGAATTATCGGATGGAAGATCTTCCTCTCTGTCTCTCCTCCTCTCTGTATATCTGACTTTGTAATAAAAATAAATAAATCTTAGGGGAAAAAAAGCCTAGGATAACTGAATTAATACAATGGAATTTTTAAATCTATTGTACAATTTAGGCTGTTACATTTTTTATTTACTCCTATTAAAAGTATTAAGCCATATATTGAACATATTTAAGAATTGCCGCATAGAAGGGTATCTAAATACAGTATTCTTTTTTCCCTCACAGTCAATTGGTGTCAGCATTGGTTTGAATACTTTCCTAATCCTCCTATCAATATTCTCAGCATGATAGAAAACGTCTTGGCCTTTCATGACAAGGAGCTGCTAAAGCACTTCACGGATCACAGTGTGACCTCGCAGGTAAGCAGGGTCTGCGTTTGCCAACACCGCAGCTGATTTTGCAAACTGACATTGGTTCTAGCGTGCATAAAAGGTTTTCTTCAGAAGATACAATCAAAAGCATACTACGTCTTGTATTTTTAACAGTATTCCATTCTTTTTCTTCATTCAGTTGCATTCCTGAGAGTTTATGGAGGGGTCCAAGTTGAGCCAGTCCTTTTCATGCTTTTATTTTTAGTAGAATGATTTTCATCACTGAGGACAAATGTCAGAGAATATTCCAGCCACTCTGGTTTTTTTCCCTTTGCCTCAGTCCGTGAGTGCCTTTTTCCTTCTTCATTTTAGCTGTATGCGTGGCCCCTTCTTGAAACGCTGTTCTCAGAGGTGCTGACCAGAGAGGAGTGGCTGAAGTTATTTGATAACGTCTTCTCCAACCATCCCTCCTTCCTCCTGATGACCGTTGTAGCCTACAACATATGTTCTAGGGCGCCTCTGCTCAACTGTAATCTCAAAGATGACTTTGAGGTAAGCATCCTTGTTCCTCAGAGGGAGTTCTCAGATCTCAGTAGGAAAATCCACTAATCAAGTGTAGACTGGGTGCGAGACACCAGGACCACATGGTAGCAACGTTAGGGATAACAAGTTGGGCCGTATCCCCACCCTCATGCAGTTAGCAGAAAGAGCTATAATGGGAAGAGAGAAAAAGAGATCTTTCATCTGCTGGTTGACTCCTTAAATGGCTAACAAATGGCTAAAACTAACCCAAGCTGAAGCCAGGAGCCTGAAACTTCATCGGGATATGCCATGTGGGTAGCAGGGGCTGAGCCCAAGGGCCATCATCTGCTGCCTTCCCAGGCACATTAGCAGGAAGCTGGAGCAAAAGTGGAGCAGCTGAGGCCTGAACCAGCATCCATTCTGGATTCTGCTATAACAGATGGCAATTTAACCCACCATAGTTCCATGCTTCCCTCATCCCCATTTGTACGTCATTAAATCAACAATTATAGTAAGTATTTAGTCTTAACAGTTGCAGTTAAAAAAAAATCATGGTTGTAAGGTTTGAGTTCAGGTCCAAAGTCAGGCAATCACACAAAGTGGTGTTCGGCTCAAAGCAAGCTCTATTGGGAGTGCTCTCGGGTCAGGTTCACTGCTCCGGCACAGTCAGCGGGCCAGAGAAGTTGCATCCAGGGGTTGTGGGGAGGATGTAGCAGAGAGATGGGCAGTTGGAGAAGAGAAAGAGGGGGACAGAATCTGGCAGATGGCTCCCTGGTGGGAAACAGCCAGGGACCACTTCTACATGGTCCAGTAACCGTGTGAGGGAAATGGCCCTGGAGAAGCTGCAGCTGGAGGGAGAATGGCTTCACAGAGAGAGGAGGAGGAGGACAGGAGGAGCTGCTGAGGGAGGAGGGAGAGTCAGGGAGAGTTTGACCCTGAGGTGGCTGGGCGGGGACTTCTGCACCATGAGTGCTGACCCTGGGGCAGGCTGTCGACCCCGCAAGGAGGATGGAGGTTGGACTGCTGTTCGTTGTTGAGGCCACAGATGCTGCTCCTGGCTGTGTGGAGGGTGGAACCTGTGCTGCTAGGGAAGGTGCTATGCCGTGGGCGTTGCAGTGGTGGAGCTGATGGGCGTCTGTGTTGGGAGGGCTGAGGGTGAAGGGCTGTGCCATGGGTGCTGTGGTGGTGGAGCTGATGGGCGTCTGTGTTGGGAGGGCTGAGGGTGAAGGGCTGTGCCATGGGTGCTGTGGTGGTGGAGCTGATGGGCGTCTGTGTTGGGAGGGCTGAGGGTGAAGGGCTGTAGAGCTTTCAGTGGGCACCATGCTGGGTATCATGTCAGGACTGCCTGGCAACCCTGCCTAGACCCCCCAGAGCAGACAGTGCTCTCAGGGCCGGCTAGAAGGGACTCAGGGTGAATGAGGTGAATGTTTGGGAGTCAGATTGGTTAGGGGAAGAGTGGGTTAAGAAGTCTGAGGGTTTAGAGTGTGTTAGAAGAACTTGGGAAGGGAGAGCAGGATTGTCAGTGGGTGGGAATGGAGAAAAAGAAGGCTCTATCATAGAAAATCTCTAATCGTTAACCATCGCGATGACAGAAGTTATCCAGATCATGGAGAATTTGGAGGTCAGTCGAGTCATTGATTTGTGTTGAGTCCCAGCCGCGTTGCAGAGGAAAGTCAGGTGGCACGAGATCTGAGTTGCAGGGTTTTGAGATTTTTAGGAGGCAGTGAAATGGCAACTCCGCAAGGGGCTCGAACTTTCCAGGCTGGCTGGAATGTCCAGAGCTCAAAGTGGCAGGATTTGTGTAAGCTCGGATTTTTGTAGGGGACAAAGCCCGAGAGTGGGAAATGGCGAGGAACCTGTTGACAAGGGACAGGTTACACTTCACCCGTCCCCCGCAGTGGGTGGTAGGTCACCATCAGTCTGAGCAGTGTGCTGGGTCAGCGATGGCTGAGAGGCCGTGAGAGGCCTCCTTCACAAGCAGTTCAAGTCAGGATCTGAAGAGGTGAGCGTGGCAGCTCAGATCCCCGGTGGGGAGAGCAGACAAGAGACCTTCAGACAGAGGGAGAAGCAAGGGAGGAGAAAGACAAAGGCAAGATCCTGGACAGATTTAGATAGGAGATCAAAAAAAGCCGAAACACGGGGACCTCCTTTCACTTTTCTGTCCTGCGGCAGCAATTTCTACATCGTGGAAGATGTTAAAATCGGAAGTCCCCTCCCAGAGGCCAGTGTAACCGGTTGTCCAGCTGCGTTGTGGCCAGGCCGCTGTGGAGTAGGAAAGCAGTGTCCTCTTGGCAAGGTCCTGGCACAGTCCCAAGGTGCCACGGTGAGCCAGAAGGCACCCTAAAGGATCTTGGAATCAGCTTTAGACTCGGAGTCTCCCATTGTTTGCCCTGTGAGGCTCCTGACTGGGCACGTGAGAACCACAGATGGGGGACACGCGAGAACCACAGTCCGGGGGACATCTGCTCAACCGAGGGAGACCCTGCGCGTAGCAGGAATCCCTGACGCAGCTGCAGTTTTGGAGTTATGGCACCTGGCCACAGTGCAGGGAGAAGCCTCAGAAGGATTTAGGGGAGGACTCACCCCTCATATGCCAGGAGGGTGAGGTCAGAGGTCATGTCCTGGAGCTAGGGTCACGTCAGGACAAGGAGAGGCCTCGCGAGAGGGGCAGGTGTAGGTGGGGGTACACGCCCCTCTTGGGTTTCAGCACCAGATGGCATGGTTTGAGTTTGGGTTCAGAGTCAGGCAACTACACAAAGTACCGTTCAGATCAAAGCAGGCTCTATTGGGAGTGCTCCCCAGGGAGGTTCACTGGTCAGGGCCAGGCAGCAGGCCAGAGAAGTTGCACCACCGTGGGGAGGAGATAGAGAGATAGGCGGGGAGAGAGTCTGACACACTGTTCCCTGGTGGAGACAGCCCGGGACCACCTCCACATGGCATGGCGACCCGTGAGGGAAATAGCTGCCTGCGACACGCAGCACTGGGCTTCTCTAGATCTTAGAGGTGGGGGAAGGCGGCAGCTCCTCAGTTTGCACATGTTTCTTGCCATGACGTGTCATCGTGGTGGGGGTTGGTCTTCTGTGCGGCGTCAGTGCTGGAAACATTTCTGGATGGGAGTGTCTGCGTGACCTTGGCAACGATAGCATTGAGGCCAGTGAAGCGCTCTTCTGTTGGCGGCCAGAGGGAGGCGGGAAGGAGAGAGAGCACTGGAACTGTGCTTGATGTTCCCAGCTTACCAGCGCTCCTGGCTTGTGGTCATTTCCTTGTCCTTTGATGCACTCAGCTCCTGCAGGAATTGCTTCTGCTCAGCCTAACAATGATTTGAGGCTTTATGTTTTTTGGTGTTTTTTTTCCCCCTTATGGATACTGAAAACCCAGGTAGCTATTTTCCTGTGCTTGAGCTTAAGAGTGGCCCATCTTGTTAACATGTTAGAAAAATGTTAGCCCTGGGAGTTCTGAGGCTTGATGAGAAAGCAGAGCACTACAGATGGTTTCTGAAGAGAAGACGCTCAGAGCAGGCACTTGGCCTTGTGGCTGAGACCCCTGATTTCCACTATGGGGTGTCCCTATTCCGTTCCCTTGCTCTGACTCCTGCCACACGCTTGCTGTTCACATAATGGGAGGCAGTGGTGCTGTCTCCAGGTCACTGGATTCCTGCCATCCTGTGGGAGGGCTGGATTGTCTCCCCAGCTCTGAGCCTCAGTCCAGCCCTGCCCCAGCCCAGCCCCAACCACAGCTACAGCCTAGCCCCAGCCTCAGCCCAGCCCAGCCTCAGCCTCTGCCCAGCCCCAGCCTCTGCCTAGCCCCAGCCCCAGCCCCAACCTCAGCCCCAGTCCCAGGCCTGGGGGGGCTTTGGGAAGCTGGACCAGTATCCAGGAGCTTGAGCTTTCCGTCTCATTCCTCTCTCTCAGTCTGTCTCAAATAAATAAAAACTGAAGGAAAGAGAAAAGGAGAGACTCTTTAGGTAAATAGGCTGAATTGGTTAGTTTTATGTGGTATTTGTACCACTTATTTTATTATTCTTATCAGATTGAACTTTATTTTTGCTTCATGGTTACGTGGTACATATGTTTCTACTTTGGAATTTGGTTCTGCTAGTGAAACCTTTGCAGATACTGTTTAAAAATCAAACTCATTTGTTTTCAGGGCCAGTTTATTTTCTGACTTTATTTTGGACTGTTGAAACATTCTTTTTCTGTTATAATGGAAACTTTCATTTTTGAGTTAAGATGTAAATCATTTGATTTCAGAATGTAATGAAATCAAAACATCTAAAAACTGAGTAGCCTAGTGGGTAAAGTCCTCACCTTGTGTGTGCCAGGATCCCATAGGGGCACCAGTTCTTGTCCCAGCGGCTCCACTTCTCATCCAGCTCCCTGCTTGTGGCTTGGGAAAGCAGTGAAGGACAGCCTAAAGCCTTGGGACCCTGAGCCCACAAGGGAGACCTGGAGGAAGTTCCTGGCTTCAGATCAGCCCAGTTCTGACCGTTGCAGCCACTTAGTGGATGGAAGATCTTTTTGTCTCTCCTTCTCTCTGAAAATCATCTTAAAAAAAAAAAAAAGTTAAGAAAAACTCCAGTGAATTTGCCAAAAATATCTTGAAAATAAACTCATATTTCAAATTTTAAACTTTTAAAATTCTGCCTCATCATTGCATTGTTCGGTAAATCTCGATTTAAACACTAAGTTTTCTTGCAGTATTTTTTTCATCATCGGAATAACCTGGATATAAACGTTGTGATTAGAGAAGCTTATCATCTCATGGAGACCACGCCTAGCAGTATCCATCCAGACAGCATGCTTGATGCGTTCACGGCACTGACCAAAGGGCAGTATCCCGTGTTTAACCAATATCCGACGTTTATCGTGGACTATCAGACACAGGAGCGAGAAAGAATAAGGAATGATGAATTGGATTACCTAAGAGAAAGGTAAAGATTGAATAGTTCTTCTGTAGCATTTTTAATGCAAATTACATATAAATTTTGAAACGTTTGTATTAAGTTCAGAAGACTGGAAGTAGTTTTAAAGATTCTTAATTCTTACATATTGTAGTAAAACTCCTTTATGCACTAATCAGATGTATATTTTATGTTCTGACAGGGGACTTCAGTTAGTGTTTTTATCTGGATTTTTCTAACAATTAATCTTACTGACTTAAGGCAGACGGTGGAAGACATGCAAGCGGAAGTGGACCAGCAGCGAGTAGACGATGAGGCGTGGTACCACAAGCAAGAACTGCTTCGTAAAGCTGAGGAAGCTCGGCGGCAGATACTCTTACACGAGGAGGAGAAAATGCTACAGCAAAGGCAGAAGTAGGCTTTGTCCCTCTGTCAAAATCTAGACTTAGCGAGTTAGTTGAAATGATTTCTATTTTCTTTGATTTTATCATTAAGGAACAGTACTGCCTATAGAGTTAGCCTGCTTCATTTCCGTTAAGTAAATATTCAAAATTAAGAATTGATGCTACTTTCCAAAAATTGGTATATAATTATAAAATACAGAATATGATCTGAATGTGTACTGATTATCTTTCCAAATAATGCTGCCCTAATGTAGCCTGAAAGACATTGCTTAGACGCAGCCGGAGGCGGGCAGTGCCTTGCTGCGGAGTGCTGGAGTCGTCATTAGTGGAGTATAGTTTTTTAAATTATGTTCCAAACATGTCTGTCTGACCTGAGATTTGAACTATAAAATGCTTGCTTCACCATGCACTCAGTACCTTACAGGACAAAAAGTACTGCGTGGTTATGTAAAATCTATGTTGATAATGAAAAGTGTTCAAATTAATTCAGTGTATCTAGTGAACATTCTGAGTAAGCCTGACTGGGGGAACCTCACCTCTCTGAGCTTCTCTTCATTCTTGGGGGCACTTTATAAAACAGATTTCTCTTGTGAGTTTCAGAGGAGTTACAGACCTGAGCCATTAGCATTCTCCCGAAATCCTCGAGGAATAAGTATATGCCGCATGTGACACCCCTGGAGTATTTGCTTAGCATCCTTCCTTCAGATAAAGGATATCAGTTACATTGAAGTGATCCGGGTACAGTAAATCTGTTAGACGTTTGCATATGAAAAGCATGGCCAACTTTGTCATGAATATAGACATGTGTAAGGGGTCCTCCTGTCTGTATTACAAACAGTTGTGTCCAGGGGGCACCAGTGAGTCAGGACAGGTAGCAGGCAGCTGTGACTGCGGCCAGAAGGCCATGGATGACCGGTCAAAGCTTTCCCTCCGTGTGTTTTGTATGTAAGGCTAGCTGCTGTGAAGAGAGAGCTGAAGATGAAGGAAATACATCTGCAAGACGCTGCAAGAAGGCGTTTCCTGAAGCTTCAGCAAGATCAGCGGGAAATGGAACTAAAAAGACTGGATGATGAAATCGAGAGAAAGGTTTATTATTTACTTATTTTTCACGGTACAGCTTTACGTATATAAGGCTTCATCGCACCCCCCGCCCCTACTCCCCTCCCTCTCTCTGTCCCCATGTTATCAGAAAGGCACAGTCACTCGGTTCAACATTACAAGCTTAACTTTCTGATATGTAAATGCATCATGACACAGTAAGCATAGGAAAAGGCAGAAAACCTAGTGCCATCATATGGAGATGTATTTATAAGTATCATTGTTCTGCTAATGTTCGAGAATAGAGACGCGTAGTGTGTAGGACCATTACTTCCCAGTGTGCTAATCTGTCGTGGACACCTGGGCAGTGGTCCAGTGGATAGTGTCTGACCATTAAATAAATAACTTCCTGTCCAAGCCCACCCTCTTCTCTTGCTCGGTTCCTACGCCCGGTGCACACCGGGAGCGACGGCAGCCTCATCATGCGGTGTGCACAGGCGCAGTTCTCACCTGTCGGCCTTCCTCGGCAGCGCTCCCCTCCGTGTTCCCGAATACGTCCCGCTGCGAGCAGCCTGGGGGAATTTCGCCACTCTCTGAGTTGCCAGCTCCTGCCAGCCTGCTGGAATTTTTATTAGAAATGTACTGAATTTAAGCTTGAGTTTAGGGAATTGCAAAGCTAGTTTTGAGGAAATAATGGAATGTTGAAGTCTTGAAATATTTTTATATACTACTAGTCTATTCACTTTTTGATCACTTGATACTCCTTTTGTCCAACGCGAACTTGAAACTGGATGTTTAAACTCTACAGTTCCTTTCATTTACCTCATCTAGTAAATAAGATTTGCTTTGCGTTATTGTAGAAATGTGTATGTTCTTCCCCACAAGCCCATTGAAGCGCAAAGCGCTGCCGTCTTTTCTTGTAAACACTTTAAGATGGAGCAGGCATGCATGGCTCCGGGCATCCCGTGAAGCTCTTTCAGCGCCAGCCTCTGCCCCTGGCTGCCCTCCCAGCCCCCTGCCCTTCTGCCTGGTCTACTGGTGTGGTCTAACTGCCAGGCAGCAGAAACTCCACTTCCCCTTCCGACTCCAGCAGGAAGGTTGCATGAGGCCAGAGTGGCATGGAGGGAGCTGCGAGCATCGGTCAGCGGCCTGCAAAGTTCCTCTGTTCCCACGGTGGCACGCAGCTGTTAGCAACTCCTAAAATTGAGACTCAGAACAGCTTTTGTAATTAAAATTCCTAAAATGGTATGTGCTGTGCCAAACCTCTCCTCTGCTTCTCAGCATTGCCGTTTCTTTCTTGCTCACAGTTCGGCTCCTTCAGTGAGCCGCTTTCTAAGCCGTGTTGGTTACAGCCCTTGGATGTGTATCTTTGCATGTCCCACTGTATCCTTGAGTAGGAAGAATATCTAACTCCTGTCCTACTCCCTGAGTGCAGGGATCGGTGCAGTCCTTAAATGCTTGCTAGGTGAGTGAATGGAAATCGATTGGTTATGTCTGTTGTTAGTTCTGTTTTGTTGGATACACATCTCGCCCATTGAAGAAAACGGAGTTTTAGGCAGCCAAATAATCGAGATGAGTTTGCAGTTTCTCCTGTCTGGAGAGCGCCTTGCCCAAACCCTGCAGGAGGTAGGAACTGCCACACTCAGCCACTCTGAGCAAAACACATGAGACTGGCAAGTCCACGATAAAGGTAACCCTGGACTATTAGCCGTCAGAGCAAATTTATAAGCATGTAGAAGCTTCATCCAAAAGAGCACTAGAAAAAAGTGTTACATTTTCTAAGGTTACGCATTCTATATTTCTCTCTATTCCAAATTGGAATGACTCAGGTTTTTCTAAGTCAATGTTGGTTATGGAAAAGCTGCCATCTGTTCCTCCAGGCGGCTGGATGAGCATATGGGAACCAGGCTTTCTGGGGGAAAAAAAAATGAACTGGCTTTCATTCAGAGATGCTTCCTAGATTGCACAGTGAGTGTTAATATATTGTCAGCTACTCGGGCTTCAGAAATCCAGTCCCTGTGATTTTAAATATTCTTACTTGGTTACACACATTGAAAAGACTGCTGAATCTACTTGAAAACTGGTTTTAATTGCTTTTGATATTCACAGTTTGTTATTTGGCCGTAGGTACAAATGAGAGACCAAGAAATCGCTAGCACCGCCAAAGACCTCGAGATGAGACAGCTGGAGCTCGAGTCACAAAGAAGGCTTTATGAGAAGGTATGAGTCAGTTAACTTCCAGTCTGTGCAGACCCTGTTTGGACTGCGGTCGGTCGCTCGCGGTGTCTTAATGGTCCCTTTATTTGCGCTAAGCAGAATGTGAGCGCCTCGCGGGGTTGTAAGGTAGCCAGAGCATCTGAATGTGGAGGTTGTTGTAATTCTGCAGGCCCTGTTTCTGTTAGCAGCTTAGGTTCGTTTGTAAAGCACCAGCTGTAAACTCCAGATTTTGCCTGAGGATCTTTCCACGAACGTACTGAGCTCTCCTGTCTGTGTGTGACAGTAACCATGAAATGCTCCAACTTCTCTTACAAGATTGGAAGGCAGGTCAGGCGAGAGCTGAAGTACTTAAATCTGAGCCTTCTGGAAGCCAGCCAGTAAACATCTGCTTGGTACATACAATGCATTTTCAAGAATTCCAGGGAAAAGGGGACCTTGCTTATGTCGATCTTCAATATTTGGGGAAAGTATTTTGTTACTCATTCATTTCATATTGAAAACATAAATTTTTATTTCTTTCGGCTTGAGCTGGATATTAGTAGTAACCGAGTTCATAAGAGGCAATATACATTTGATGGTTAGTCACATTCAATAAACTGAAAACATTGTGCCTGTTTCTATCTCACAGCACTTAAAACATACTGGATTTCTGCTAAAACTAAGCAAGGGATTTAGTTTGATTAGATCTCTTCTGATTTTGATTCAGATGTAATTCATTTATTAGGGTAACCTGAAGGCTGATTTGCCGTATGCTTTTATGAGGCAGTCGGAAAATCCAGTAATTTCCAAAGTAACAAAATTTGCAAGAAAAATATAAAGCCTTTTCAACTATCCTCTGAGATTCTCACCCATTACATTTTTTTGCTGTTTGGCCTCCCGTTCTGTAGACAAGCACACTGACACTTTTCTGAACTGTTTAAGATGGAGAGCTGTCCCTTAACTACTCCGGTGCATATCTTCTTTCTCGCTTCTTCTTTCTAAAGATTCCTTTGTTTACTTTCATTTGAAAAACTGCGTTAAATAAAGAGACAGATCCTCCAACCACGGTTCACTCCCCAAATGGCCACAGTGACTAAAGTTTGAGCAATCCAAAGTCAGGAGCCAGGAGCTTCCTCCAGGTCTCCCACTCTGGTGCAGGGTCCCAAGGACTTGATCCGTTCTCTCCTCCTTTCCCAGGCGATAAACAGGAAGCTGGATGGGAAGTAGAGCATCCAGGACTCAAACTGGCACCCATAGGGTATACCAGTGTCACCCAGAGGCTTAGCGTACTACGCCATGGCTCCAGCCCCAGTGTATGTTTTCTAAAGCCAACAGATCTCACAAAACCACAGTGTAATCACCAAACTCAGTAAATTAGCATAATGTAAGACTTACTAGCCTTATTCAGATTTGATCAGTTGTCCCAAAATTATTCTTCAGAGCAAAAGAAAATCCACAATTGCCCAGATTTTTTTTTTAATATTTATTTTATTTTTATTAGAAAATCAGATACACAGAGAGGAGAGACAGAGAGGAAGATCATCTGTCTACTGATTCAATCCCCAAGCGGCCACAACAGCTGGAGGTGAGCCAGTCCAAAGCCAGGAGCCAGGAGCCAGGAGCCTCTTCTGGGTCTCCCACACGGGTGCAGGGTCCCAAGGCTTTGGGCTGTCCTCCACTTCTTTCCCAGGCCACAAGCAAGGGAGCTGGATGCGAAGTGGGGCAGCTGGGATTAGAACCGTCACCCATAAGGGATCCCAGGTGTGCAAGGCAAGGACTTTAGCTGTTATGCTGCTGTGCCAGGCCCAACCTAGTTTTTTGTGTGTTTTAAATTGGAGCCCTGCCTGAGTTTGCTCAGAAGTGGTGGCATTGAGAGTGTTGGAAGCATGTGGCCGGCTGCCTCTGAGACCGCCCTCAGCTCCCACCTGCTCAAGGTGAGGTTCAAGTTCTGGACTTCGGCAGGGATGCCACTGAAGTGATGTTCAGCTTCTTCCATGTCTCAGGAATGTTTACTGATCCCTTGGGTGCTGTCTTGTGAAAGAAGCCAACCACTGGCTTAAAGAGGAGTTTATTTAACTGCTCAACAACACCAACTTAGGAAGCCCTCATCTGATTAGTTAGAGGCAAAATGTCAGACTACATGTTTCCAGATTGGTTTTACCTGCCAAAGTTATCCCTACGTGAGGTTGATTCGGTATCTGTTTCTCGAAATGTCTCAGAAAAAAATGTTGAGATTACCCTTGTGGAAAATTTGAGCTCAACATTTTATATGTATCCAAATAAAATATAATTTTTTAACAGAAGAACAAAGTTAAGCACAGATAAAAATAAAAACAAGTAAATACCCACCCACCAGATCCTGTTCGTCCTCTGTCTCATCTAGTCTGTCTTCTATGTCTCTCTGGCAAGCGTGCCTCCGCTTGGTACAATACCAGCCGTGCCCAGAGTACTGGGAGGGGTGGTGTGAGCGCCACGGCGAGGAGTCGCAACACTCTTAGATTCCCAGTGACATGCATCACTGTAGAAAGATCTAGATTAAACCCAGCTCAGGTGGAGGGCACCCAGGGTGAGGTCCCGGAAGAGCTGGGCAGATGCTTCCGCTGGGCTCTCCCGCAGCACTTGACCTTCCCTCCAAGTGGACCTGGCCTGGGTGTCGCCCAGACGGGCACCTTCCCCGGCTGCTCTCTCCTCCCGCCAGAGGGCGTGCTGATGGAGGAGGGCTCCGGTCCCCTCACTGTGTCGGCACACTCAAGTGGCATGGCCCCAGGCGTGGAGGTCACGTCCCAGTGGCATGGCCCCAGGCGTGGAGGTCACTCCCAGGAGCTGCTCGGGGCCAGTCTTCCCTTTGGAATATGCAGGGTTTGAATTACTCGGAGCTGCTCCTGAGTGGGCCCTTTACTGTTATGTCTGATACCTAGATGCCAGTTCCCTCCGCCCCCTCGGCCGATGGAGGAAGAGCCCTGTCCTTTAACACAGTAATTGACAAGGCCCTCCACCCCGTGTGTGTCTCCTGCCCGGCGCCCACGCCCCCACCCCGGGCATCTCCATTCCTTCTCAACATCTTTCATTTTCTGCCGTTTTCCTTCATCTTCACACACATACACACACACACAACACTTTTCTTTCTCATTCCATGATTGCTGCTTTTGTGTTTCATTTAATAAAATTATTTTTCCAAATGGCTACAGTTGTCATTACTAGAGACTACTGAGGAACCACAGCCTTAGACTTTTTTTTTTTCTGTTTGATACTTGTTTTATCATTTCTGTCTCTAAAGATCATCTCCCGTACAGCTCTTCCACATATAATAGAGAACAAATTTATTTTCAGCTCCTTACAAAGGAAATGATACTGCCTATGGATAAGTAGGGAAGTTTTGATCCCTCCATCAAAAAGCACCACTGGATGGTTTTGTAAATGAGGCCAAGGCAGAGCTTGGGGCAGGATAGGAAGGGCAGTAATGCAGCTTCACACGGCGGAGCTCACCGTTCCTGCCGGGCTGCGGGGATGTTTTATGAATCAGTAAGTGCTCCTCAAATTACTACAGAAATGAGGCTAATTGCACGACTCCTGGAAGAAGTTTTTGATGAGTTCTGGCAGTGTTCTCAGCACCGTTATGGTTGGAGAATTCTCACGGATCCTTCCTGGATGATTTTGGATGCTGCCACTCATGGTTGCTTTTCCCCTTGAAAATTACTTGGATGCATTTTTCATTTGCGTGCATATTAGTATTTTGAAAAAGAAGTATTTTTTTTTTCATGTTCTAGCAATTTTCTATAGAGCAGTGACTTTTTACAAATGATTTTTTAAACAAAGAATCTCACTAGAAGCCAGGAAGCCGTGGCCAAGGACCTGCGGGAAGATGCGGACGCCTACAGACGGAGAGTGGATCTCGAAGAAAACCTGTTGCACAAACTGATAGAAAACGACCGACAGCAGAGCCAGAAAGCTCAGCAGGTAGGCGAGCGGCCCGAGGGAGGCCCTCCGCCAGCAGCCCTTCCTGGCACCTCGGGGCAAAGCTGAGTGCATGCCCAGCCTCCCACGGTCTGGGGGTATTCACAGGGTGGTCACTTCACGGACTGTCAGTGGGTGTAGCTCCGTTCCCTTGGAGAGTTGTCCTGGTTAGCTGCGATTTAAAGGCACAGTGACTCTGAATTTGGGCTGTGCCTCAGGAGCCGTTCCTGGGTTTGATGAGACTGCAGAAGATCAAGGCCCCAGTGACCACCCTTGCATAGAGCAGCCTGCGCATGTCTGTTCTGTCAGTCAGGAAACGAGGGACAGTCCAGTCAGTATCGGAAACGTGGGCTTAAAGTTAGGTTTCAGAGAAAATGGCCGCAACGGCCAGAGCTGAGCCAGTCTGAAGCCAGGAGCTTCTTCCACGTCTCCCACACAGGTGCAGGGTCCCAAGCACTTGAGCCGTCCTCCACTACTTTGCCAGGCCATAGCAGGAAACTGGAGCAAAGTGGAACAGCCAGGACTAGAACCAGTGCCCATTCAGGATGCCAGTGCCACAGGCAGAGGCTTAACCTATTATGCCATGGTGTCTGACCCCCTCCCCCTCCTCAAAAAAAAAAAAAAAAAGGACTTATTTTCTGGAGTTCCTCTTAGAATACTGACTTGAAGCCAAACTTGAGATGTTCCAAAAAGAACTTTTTTCTCTTTAACAAAATGTTAAATTGGTGAATGTCTGGGCCTGATCCTAGTCCCAAAACTGGGAACAGTGTGAGGTACAGACTTTTCTCTTAGCTGCTCCCCCAAAAGGACCCCACTTCCTTTTCATGCAGGCTTTTGTCCACTCTGTAAAAATGGGTCCTTCCGATCCTCTTTCAGAGGGTTGAAAACACAAGGATGGTTGAGTCCCACCCACCCCCGGACGTCCGTCACCTCGGCTGCACGTTCTAGTGGAGGGAAGAGCTTCTGAAATGCAGCGGGTCCTGCTGGCCCCCAGGGAGATATCCTTGTCGAGGCCAGGGTGCCAGCTTGTCTTAGCTCTCACGTGCGCCGGGATCACAAGCCACTGCCCTGCACTGGGCTGCATTTACCGGATATCCGCGTGCACTGTGTGTGTCCCCAGTCTGATCTTGTTTCTGAAACTGACAACTTTTTCAAAGGTAATTGAGGCAAATTTGGACCAAGCTGAACAAGCATGCCTAAACACCGACTGGCAGATCCAAGCTTTGTATAAACAGAAATGTCACGATTTACAGCGAAGTGAATGTTACCAGGAAGTGGCCAAACTCCTGCAGGAAAACAGAAGGAAGGAAGTAGAGGTTTTAAAGGCAATGATGGAAGAGGAGGCTCTGAAGGTAGGGATGCTGCCAGAAGGGCTTCCCAGCGTGCGCTGACATGGTGGTATGTTTTGTTGACAAGATAATAATCGTAATAGGTGCTTCTCAGAGAGTCGTCTACTCCAGCTGCTACAGTGACAAGCCATCTGGTCACTGTGTGTGTGTACAGTCAGTGTTACCCAACTTCTCAGCCTCCTCGATGTGTTCTGGCCGATAGTATTCATTCTTGAATTTACCTCATCAAAATCAAAGGATTTTGATCAGGTACAAAGTATATGTAGCTGCTAGCTGGTATTAAAACCCAAGTAATAGTGCCATTAGCAGGGAGACCTCAAACCAGCGCCCATGTGGGATGCCAGATGCCAGCACCGCAGGTAGAGGATTAGCCTGTATACCAGCACCTACAGTCCCTACAGGGCTTTTTTTTTTTTCCCAAGATTTCTTTTATTTTTCTATTCGAAAGGCAGATTTATGGAGAGAAGGAAAAAGAAAAAGAAAGATCCAGCTACTGGGTCACTCCCCAAATAGTCACAATGGCTGGTGCTGTGCTGATCCGAAGCCAGGAACCTCTTCAGGTCTCCCACTCGGGTGCAGGGCCCCAAGGCTTCGGGCCGTCCTCTGCTTTCCCAAGCCGCATGCAGGGAGCTGGATGGGAAGTGGAGCAGCCAGGACAGGCACCAGCACATGCATGGGATCCCAGCAGATGCAAGGGGAGGTTGAGCTGCTAGGCTGTCACACCAGGCCCCCCACAAGACTTTATAAAGATAGGGTAAAATAGGATGAGCTCTAGGTCATGAGAGTGGTTTTTGCACCCCTCTGTGCACTGTGTCACAGTGTGTGTTGTGAAAGCATGCAAGTCATTACTCTTGCTCATTTTTCTCCTCCCCATCCCAGTGGCCTGAGGCCCTGTCTTATAACCCTTTCCTCCAGGGCCCAGGACAGGGGGTCCTCGAGAGGGGGGCGATGTGTGCAGGATCCCTCAGGCACACAGGAGCGGGGAGCTGGCCCAGAGTCCTGACGAAGCACGCGGTGCGTGGGGGATGCCCTACGTGCTGCCCGCTGCAGCCCGGCGCCTCTTCCCCTCCTTCTGCCACGGAGAAACATGGCGGTCTGTCCAGGCTGTCACCTTCTGCCCTGTTGAGTTTCACTCAAGCTTCATTTTCGTGCACCGGTATAGCCGTAGCATACGAAAATTGTGTCATGTTTCCAGTATGACAGCGATGGCCTTTGCAGACTTTTGGTAAACTTCAGGAGCTGGACTTCAATGTCATTGTTTTAAGAGCCAGCTGTAGATCATGTCTTCATTGTCTTATGGAGAAGAAAGCAGGGGCTGCCCAAGATGTGTTGCGTACCCTCCCGTCATCCTGTGGGGCCACATCTGGGCAGAGGTGGCTCTCTGAATGTTCTAGGCTTTATATTAAAGCAGAACTCTCAACGGTTCAGTCAGAGCCCAGTCTCAGGTTTGAGACTGTGAGCAAGTGGATCTGAGCTGCCATCGGGCAGTGCAGGACCCACGTGTGCAGTTCCTGGTGCTTCGCGGCCTGACTGACACCTGAGAGGCGGATGTGTGCCAACACGGGCAGTGGGGAGCCAGAGTCCTCTCCCCCTCCCCGGCCCAGGAGGTACAGACACTGCCACAGGTTTTCTAGAATCTTCCCCACTGTCCCCACCCCCCTCCACACACACACACACACACACACACACACACACACACACACTTGTCTTTCAGTGGAAGGAAGCTGAAGAAAAAGAGTTCTATCTGAGATCAGAAAGGAAAGCTGCCGCCCTTTCAGATGCGTCTAGAAGGTGGTTCTTAGAGCAGCAGATCAGCGCCGCGGCAGAACACTCTGAGACTCCATCCCACGGAGGTGAGTGCCAGGCCAGCCCCTCTCCACGTGGGCTTACAGGTGCATACTGCTGCTTCATTCTGATTGGCTGCAAAAAGGTGGTCCCGGTGCCTTTTGTGTAGTGGGGAGAAGTGAGCCGAGGAGAGCCATCACAGGCACCCCGTGGGGGCTGCTGTGCCCCCCAGTCCAGGGGCACTTTGTTCCCAAAGTGCTGTGTCCAGCGTTTCCTTTTCATGAAACTGGGTACTTTCCTAGTAGTTCTCAGAACGACAGCATGTTAAAGTATTTCCAGGAAAGTTCTTTAGAGTTCATCAAACATTACAGTTTTGTGCGAAGCTTACACTGGCAAGACTACACTCCACAGTGCTAAACTGGAGTGCAGGCGTGTGGAACTTTTACTCCCCGTGTACTGTAGTGCTTCAGGCACTGGCTGTGTGTGTACCCCTTTGAAACATGGCAGCTTCACTGACTTAGCATCACATACAATACAGTTCACCTAAATAAGGTGTCCAGTTGAGTGGCGCTGTATTCCTGTTTATCAAGAAGGATGTTTGGGGAGTGGGGATGGAGAGAGTAAAAGGGGAAAGCCCGAGCCTATGAACTTTATCATGGAAAAAAAAGTATGTTTGGAATTTTTACAACCATCAGCAATTTTAGACCATTTTGTTACACTAACATAAACATTGGGGGCCTCCACCATGGCATGGTAGGTTAAGTCTCTGCCTATGGTGCCAACATTCTATGTGGGTACCAGTTTGACTCCCAGCTGCTCCATACCTAATCTAGCTCCTGCTGATGGCCTGTGAAGCAATAAAGACCGACCTAAGGCCTTGAGTCCCTGCACCCATGTGGGAGACCCAGAAGAAGCCTCTGGCTCCTGGCTTTGAGCCGGTGCGGCTCTGGCCATTGCAGCCATTTGGGGAGTGAACCAGCAATGGAAGATCTGTCTCTCCTGGTCTGGCACAATGGGTCAGTGACTGGATCCTCGCCCTGCATGGACCTGCATCCCACATGGTCTCCGTTTCATGTCCTGGCTGCTCCACTTCCCTTCCAGCTCCCTGCTTGTGGCCTGGGAAAGTAGTAGAGTGTAGCCAAAGCCTTGAGCCTCTATGCTCATGTGGGAGACCAAGAGGAAGCTCCTGGCTCCTGGCTTCAGATCAGCTCATCTATGGCCACCGTGGCTGGCCGCTTGGGGAGTGCACCAGCAGATGGAAGATCTTTCTTTTTTTCTTGCTTCCTCTCTATAAACCTGCCTTTCCAATAAAAACAAATATTTTTTTAAATTTTTTAAAAAGATCTGTCTCTCCATCTCTGTAATTCTGCTTTTTAAATAACAGTTTTTAAAAATGATAATTTTTTAGAAAATGTTACATATTTTGAAAAAGTTGATTAAGATGTAGTATTTGTACATCTTTTTAACTATTTTGCTTAAAATTGCAAAGAGGAAAAGCTGGTTCACTCCGTGAAAGGCTACAAAGGGTTGAGGGTCCGAAGCTGGGAGCCAGGAGCTTCCACCATGTCTCCCACATGGGTTCAGGGACCCAAGCATTTGGACTGTCTCCTGTTGCTTCCCCAGGCTGTAAGTAGGGAGCTGGGTGGGAAGTGGAACAGCTGGGACTGGGATTAGCACCCATAGTAGATGCTAGTGCCACGGGTGAGTTAGCTTGCTGTGCGGCTGCAAGGACACAACAGTGCCCTTTGCAAGGTATGTGTGATACTTCAACGTGTATACACAGCAGCTAAGGCCTGGCAGCGTGGCCCAGAAGGTTAAGCCTTAGCCCGCAATGCCAGCATCACGTTCTGGAGTGGCATTGCAAGTCTTGGCTGCCCGACTTCCTAGCCAGCTGCCTGCTGGTGCACCTGGGAAAGAAGGTTTTCATTCACTAATGGGCTCTCTGTAACAGCCACTTTCTACATGCCTTACAGACATGTCCGGGTGGCGGGATGACCAGGGCGACCTGAGCAGCTTGCCCAGAACCTCACAGCTGAATGACATTTCTGAAACGGATTCTTCAACACAAAGTAAGTTGATAAGCAATAACAAGTTCGTGTACGATCTATCATTCATTCATCGCAGTTTACACAAAATTGTGGCTTACGTTCTCTGACCCGGCTGTTTTCCATCCTTGTGATAACACAGTCTCGGTGGTATTTTTCCCACCTATTGTGTGTCTGTGTTTTATTTGGTTTTGTTTTGTTTTTTTGGGCTCCTTGCAGCCACCGTAGGGAGGATGTTTTTGTCGCAGGTACGGCAGGTGCACTGAGGCAGCGCTGGCTCGCCGACTCAGGACCCTACATTGGATGCCCCAGGGAGCGTGGTTAGGACAGATGTTCTGTTTTGTGTTTCCAGTCTGTTGTTTGGAATGCACAAGGTGGAAACAGCTTATAGAAACACAGTCCCAGCAGCGGCCCACCCAGGAGCAAGCATTGTTCTCAGCGAAGCGTACAGTTTGGCTTGCTCAGTCAAGCTGCATGGTTAATGAAGCAGAACTCAGCAGGGCCTTCTGAAACGTGTTAGAGGAATGAAGTTTTTATTGTAATGGCACAGAGAAAAGGAGATACAGAGAGGAAGATCTTGCATCTGCTGGTTCGCTCCCCAAGTGGCTGCAACATCCGGAGCTCAGCTGATCCAAAGCCAGGAACCTAGAACTTCTGAGTCTCCCATGCAGGCACAGGGTCCCAAGGCTTTGGCCCATCCTCTATTGCTTTCCCAGGACACAGGTAGGGAGCTGGATGGGAAGCAGGGCCTGTGGTATTAGAACTGGCGCTCATATGGGATCCTGGCACGTGCAAGGCGAGGACTTTAGCTGATAGGCTACCGTGCTGGGCCTGAGGAATGGGCTTTTATGTGAGGCCCCAAAGAGGTTTGATGAGCAACCTAGCTCACTTGTCATAACAAGTCCTGGGAGGTGATTGTGTCACGGGAAATACTTCTGGGGTAGTCATGCTTTTTGATGCATGCCTCAGGTGTGCTGGAAATAAGCCAAAAACCCTTGGGAATCAAATGTAGCGCGAGGGATTTGGACGCTGTTCTCTCCTGAACTTGCTGTCAGAGCTTGTTTTTCACAGAGAAATGCTAAGTGTGGATGTGCAGCAGCGACGGCTTATCCAAAAGTTACTTGGCAGGAATACAACATTCATAAAAAGGTCTAGTTCTTTGGGAGGGAAATATTTCCAAAAGTTGGCCCTGGCTGTTGGAATATGTAACTAAATTTCAGGGAAGTACAGTTTTAAAGTGTTTTGCTCTTCCCCACCGCCTCCCCATTGCCCACGTCTGCCAGCCTTTGTAAGTCAGTGTGAGGCCGCTGTCAGCTTGGACCCGCTTGGCTGCTGTTCAAGCACAGACAGCTTGGTTCCTTGTACCTGCTGGGAAAGGGGCCAGGCTAACCCCTGAGGTGTAACTCGGTGGGCTCACAGCGAGGGGTCCCCCTTTTGGGAGCAGCTCATATTCACCCCACAGCCAGCTTCCTTCATTCCATAGGCCACAATGAAAAATGCTGAGCAGCCAAAAACAAGTGTGTTGTTTAGGAACGTTCGTTCAACTCGGTGATCAAATGCTCGGCTTGCAGGTGGGACCGCCGAGGGCCTGTACTGGGTTAGGCTTCTCGTTCAAGCAGGTGATCAAATGCTCGGCTTGCAGGTGGGACCACCGAGGGCCCGTGCTAGGTTAGGCTTCTCGTTCAAGCAGTTTGGTTTCTAGGATCCTTCAGGATTGACTTTTGCCAACATGCTTCCCTTTAAAATTCACGTGCTGTTATTCCCGGCATTTAGGAAATCCAGCTACTGTTCTCTTTGATTTTTGTCTTCAAGTTCCCTTCAGTCGCAAGCTGGCGGAGTGGGACAGCACAGACCAGAATCTCATGCAGAAGGTGAGGAATCTGCGCTGGAGACTGGCCGCCCAGGCTCGCAGCAGGTGTCAGGCCTCGCGGCTCGTGGCCACGTAGGAGACGCCGCGCCTTGGTCAGAGAGAGAGAGCCCTCCTTTGCAATCAGTGACTGCTTTTTCCACTTATTTATTTAAAACTTTTTGCATAGCAGAATCTGTCCGTGAAAATTATGTGTTCTATTTCACACCTTTTGGATTGTAAATGTCTCCTTGAACTTTTCTTAATAAAGATTTTGTAGAACCTGGGGTAGCCGTGTCTGGACTTCAGTCCCAGGGGCTAGCGTCAACCTCAGAGCTGGAGTTGATGAAGGTTTCCTTTAAAGATGCACAAGGAACCACAGGACCAGGAGCCCGCCGCAGGAGTGGACGGGCGAGATGGAGAGCGAGGACTCAGTCCCAATGCCGAGGCGCCCGAGCACCAGCCCTCCCGGAGCCAGAGGCTGAGGGGCGCTCCCAGTGTCCCCTCGTGTCCCAGAGCGGCTGCCCACGGGACACGGACGTCTGCCCTTCACTTCCACCGCCTCCCCTGCTGGCAGTGCTGTGGCCACCACTGCCTCTCCACCCCTCGGCTCGGCCTCTCCAGCCTCCTTTCTCCCACTCACCCAAAGCAGAGTAGGAGTAGCTGGTGGAGCCGTGAGATGAGGTGAGCTCGCACCCAGAGCTCCTCGTCGGGCTGGACACACACGGTGCCATGTGTTTGCTCGCTGTGTTCTCCCAGGGCGGTCTCCTGAGTGACGCCGACATAGGCGGCAGGCGAAATGCTCCCCTCTTGTTCCAGAATAACAGCCCTGGCATGCCAGCCTCCACCTGGCGGTCCACACCAGTCACCTCATCACAAGTGTCGAGTCGGGCTGCTGGGGGTGGCAACAGAAGGCCCGGGCTGTGAAGCGGGAGCAGGTATGATGGGGATTCTGGAGAACATTCCGATTCTGGAGTGCCCTGCTCTAGGTGACACCATAAGCTGGGGAGTTCATCAGAAGCAGAATTCAAGGTGAGTCTGGGACTCACCAGGATTCTGACTTTAACCTTGGGGCCTTCTGGGCCCAAGCAAGAGTCCACTGACACACTGGCTTGAACGGGAGAACTACTGCAGGAAGACTTACTGAATCATGGTACGGAGCAACTGTGAAGCCGTGCAGAAATCTAAGAGGGCCCAGGATGGTGCTAGGACAGGGGCCACCTGGGCACACAGCAGGGCATGCCAGGAGCCCGCGGGTGCTGATGGCTCAACTCCTTGGACCACCCCACCAAGATACAAGTCCTGGGCTCACCCAGTCCTGGCTGGGAAGTGAAAAGTGAACCAGGCAATAGAAGACATTCCCACCCACCCACCCCACTTCTCCCTTTCAAGTAGATGAAAAAGAAGTAAACATTAGCAACAAGAGGGTGAAGTAAAAAAAGGGTGAAGCCTCAGAGCCCCCCGGATGTGGGGGAGAGTTGCGATGCCGCGGTGTGCTCCTCTTCCCCCAAGGGCGGACCCCCCTGCGCACAGGTGCAGGAAGGGGAAGAGGGGCCGCAATAAGCGAAACATCAGAGCCAGGAGAAGCAGCCCTGTCTGCCCAGCAGTGTCCCTCCGGCGCCCTCTATCGGTAGTTCAACAGATGATACACTGTCAAGCTGGAAAAGTCCAGCAAAGCCAGGACTGAAAAGTAAGCTTGGAGATGCGAGCCCGGTCAGCAAGCAGCACGCTTAGCGCCGGGGAGCAGCTGACTGGGTTGACGGACAGAGACGCGGGTTTCCGGCTGGCTTTTATTCAGTAAGCTCCAGATGCCGTAATTTCCCTGGCATGAAACTGTAGGCTTAGAAAGATGGGAGTGGGTGGGGCACCTTGGCTAACATCCCTAAAAGTACAATACAGAAGCCACCTAGCAAAGGGGTGGTGCCTTGAAATCTATTAGGAAAACACCGCCTGCTGTCCCACAACCCCAGACCTGGAGTCAGTCCCCAAGCCTCCTGTGTAGCAGGGGTGGCCGGGTCTCCAAGCCAGGGCTTGCTGGGCTTAATGGACCTGAGCGGAAGGGGCTCTGCCTTGATGATGGCCACCCGGGCCCCCGTGGGGATCAGGGAGCGGCCAACCTGCAACTGTGCGCTGTGTATTTACACACTGCAATCACACAGGGCGGACAGGCAGGAACCCCCACCCCTCTGCAGCCCACTGGGTCAGCAAAGAGCTCAGCAAATCCCAAGGGGGCGTCACAGCAACCCTGGGGAACTGCGGGGCCGCTCTGGCGGGGCTCCCCACAGCCCGCTGCCAGGCAGGAGGCCATCCCTCTCCCCAGACCTCGTCGCAGCAGCCCACGTGCAGCTCCATAGCCCAAAGGAGCTTGCAAGGAAGGGCGGCACCAGACGCCCCGAAGCCGACACACCCGGCATCAGGGCAAGGCAGGCAGGGGCAGTGCTTCTGTCTGGTTCTGTTATGTAGCATCTCGGGGGCCAGTTTTTCTCGCGATCAAGCCCCGTAATTTAATATGAGCAAGTAAAATAGAGTTCTCTGGATGGAAAGTCCTAGGAGGAACAAAAGTATTGTGCCCCGTGTGAGGATCGAACTCACGACCTTCAGATTATGAGACTGACGCGCTACCTACTGCGCTAACGAGGCACCTAGCGGCAGCTAGCGTCTGCGACATAATAAGGCAATGACGGCAGTGCCGCGCATGCCCAGGGTGTTGCATCTTGGCACGCTGTTGCCTGTGTCTGGTAGCCGGGATTTGTGGCTCCTGGCTATCCGCGCGATTGTCGCCGATTCCCTGGCTCCTCTGCCTTCCTCCGCCCGTCACCGTGTCAATCGACAAACGCTGCTGCCTGCTCGCCAACGCAGCCCGGGCAGCCGGGACACGGGACGGGCTTCTTTTGGGGGTGTGTGGGCTCTGCCCTGGGCTGGCTTCGCGGAGTCGGGGTGCGGCCGCGGGTGTGTCACCGTCTGTACCGGTCTGCAGCCGGCCCGGCCCCCACAGCCAGGTGCGGGAGCCACGGCCCGTGCACCTGGTCGAGGTCCTCCGCGCGCCGCGGCCCCTCGTAGCCACACACTGGTCGCCAAACGGGGAAGGTTGAAAGGGGTCAGTCTCCGAACTCGGATCAAAACACCTGCCCAAGTGTGGAACGGCCGGGCTTGCGGGGCGAGGGGTGAACCCACAGCCGGACGAGCGCCCCGAGACCTCAGTGCCCACCCGGGCGGGGAGGCTCGCCAACGGTAGGGAGGTGCAGCAGAGGCCCTTGTGGGAGCAGAATCTCCGCTCGCTCAGGCCGAGGCGCCCCCCACCAGGGGGAAGGACCCCGAGTTCCAGAGCAGGTGCAGCTGGGACCCCTGCCTCACGCCCCCTGCCCACGGCCCCGGCTGCGGGACGCGGCGCGTTGCCAGGAGCAACGGGCGCCGAGAGCCACGCGGAGTGGAGAATGCCGGACGGCGACCCTGCGGTTGCCGGGTGTAGACGTGGGCATTCCGCCTCCTGGTGCGAATGCCGCAGCCTCGGAGCGGCGACCGGGCGCAGAGGGGCGGCCTGCCCGGAGGCCGAGATGCCACAGGCTTCGCGTCAGAGTCCCTGCACGTGTGGTCGCCACGCGGGGCACCTGCTACTTCAAGCTCCCCCGATTTCCGCTTGCGGCCGAATCGGGGAGCCCCCTGACCTTGTCTGCGGTTGCGGTTTGAGGCTTGAGTCGCGGCCAGGGCTTTGTGGGGTGTCCACTGGACGCCGGGACCTGACGACGGCTGTTCTGGGATGAGGGGGACTTTATCAAATAAAGGAGCTGCGTCGATCCACTTAAAAGTCTATTTGGATTTTCAAAACTCCAGGCCTAAGGAAGAGAGCGGAGGATGGAGGAGAAGCTCAGGGGAGAAGAGGCTTCCCGTCGGGGAGTCAAGGCTCGCACCGAAGACAGGTGCCGCGGAGGCTGGCTGCACCCTGCCTGGGTCCGGAATAGAAACAGAGGGCGAACAGCATCGTGGTTGAGACCCCAGCAGACAGCCACCGCCAGGCCTGACCAGGAGCTAGCGCCTGCTGGCTCAAGCCTCCCCTGGCACCGGCCTGATTCGCTCCTGGAGCGACCAGGCCCACCAAGATCACTTCTTGTTCCTTCTTCCCCTGCCCCTTCTTCCCCTCCCACTGCGGCCCCTGTATTCCTGCCGGGACAACCTGCAGGGGGTACTAAGTCCCGATTTAAAAGCAATACAACTTCTCTGGGGCCGGACAGGAGCCCGTGGGGGCCAGTGAATGTGGGCTTGGGACGGGGGAGGGCTAAGGAAATGGCACCGGTAGGCCTGCGGGGACCTGAGAGCTCACCTCTAGGCAGGTGGAGCAAACGTGGGGATTTCCTCATGTGCTTGGCTCTGGGTGGTGAGAGCAGAGGGGCGGGGAGAGCCCCAGGTCAGCATGCAGCCCTGCGGTGCTGGGGGGTCAGGCCGGGAGAACCTCAATAGACCTGGTTCTTGGGTGTGTGGAGGGGCAAGGCACCAGGCCAGCACATGCGCCAGGAGCTTGGGACCCTGGTGGGTGAAGAGAGCTTTGCATCAGCACACCACTCACTGGGCTTCCAACACCTGGGCTAAAGAAGCCATGCACTCCTGGGCACAAGGATTGTGGTTTGAATAGGGAAAAGAGCAGAGGGATATGGGGTAGGGAGTACTGCCATGCGAGTATCTTGCAGGTGAGGAAGGACTCCTGAGGGACTCCAAACAACAAGGTCATTGTACTTGTGGGTAAGCGAGGGGAATGAGACCTGGTGGTTTGCAGGGGAGAGACCAGAAGACCTTTATGGGTTAGAACGGTGGACCAGCCCACATGGGAGACCTGAGCTGGGCTTGTTAGCATGGATCATTGCTGACCATCACGTGCCAGCCAACATGAAAGCTAGGGCTGGGGGCCTGTCTGACAAGATAGGATTCCAGCACTGGACAGTGAGTGTAGGAACAGGGGACAGGTCACAGTCAACTGAGCCATGACACTAACCAACGTGCAAGAGAACCAGGTCCAGGGGTGGATTCTGGTGGAGGGGGGAGGGCGGAATATGTGGGCCCAACCCCATTGAACTACAAGTCCTGCTGGTTAGCTCAAGAGTTGGGGTGGTGATGGGCCAACCTAGACATGATCATGGACCCCACCAACACGAGTGCTGGGGCTGGAAGTAGGCTGGGCAGGACCAAGCTGCAGTATCCTCATGGGCACCCCCAAACAGGGTGTGGGGTGCACCGGGCCGCAGCATCCACCAGCCCATACCAAGGCCAGGATGGAGGGGACAGACTATGCT